ACCCAGTCAGGATCCATGCTCTGGTCCCCTTCAGGGTCCCCCGCCCAACTGTCGACCCCCACACCTGCACACCACCTAGAACACCCTGAACCCTGTCTGAACCCTTTGCAAAATAACAAGACCCCCTGCAACCACACAGAAACCCGTACACCTTTCCTGGGCCCTCAGAACTCCAATCGGACACCCTGCACATTGCCTGGAGCCCTTGAACCCTCTCTTAGCCCCCCGCACCCCAACGAGGACCCCCTGCAGGTTGCCTGGACCCCCTGAACCCTGTCTGAACACCCTACACCCCAAGCAGAACCCTTGCAACGTGTCTAGGTCATCTGCTTCCCTGCACACCAAACAGAACCCCCTGCAACTTGCCTAGACCCCCTGAGCCACAATCAGAATCCCTGCACCTTGCCTGGAGGCCCTGCAAACCAAACAGACCCCCTGCACCCCAACCAGAACCTCCCGAAACTTCCCTGGACCCCATGAACCCCGTCTGAACCACCTGCACTGTGTCTAGGCTCCCTGCATCTGAACCAGAAGCATGCACCCCAACCAGAAATGGCTACATCTTGCCTAGACCCCTGAACTCTATCTGAACATGCAGCACCCCAACGAGACACCCTGAACCCTGTCTGAGCCCCCTACACCCCAACAACAATCCCTGCACCGCGTCTAGGTCACCCGCATCGCAACCAGACCCCACACAACACGACCAGAACTAACCGAAACCTGTCTGAACTCCCTGCATCCTGTCTGTGACTTCCGCTCCCCAACAAGACCCCCTGCACCCTGTCTGGGTTCTCTGCATCCCAACCAGACCCGTTGCACCCCAACCAGAACACCCGGAACCATCTCTGAACTCCCTGCACACCAACAGGAGCCCCTGCACACAGTCTGGGCCCCCTGCATCCCAAACAGAACCCCCGCGCCTTGCCTCGACCCCTTGAACGCTCTCTGAGCCCCCTGCACCACAACAAGCACCCCTGCGCCCTGTCTGGGATCTCTGCATCCTAACAAGAACCCCTGCGCATTCCCTAGATGCCCTCCACCCCAAACACACCTTCTGCATCCTGAAGAGTGTCTGAACACCCAGCATGCCAACAAGACCGCCTGGACCCCAAGCAGAACCCCCTGCACATTGCCTGGACCCCGTGAACCCTGTGTGGGCACCCTGATCGCCAACCAGAACCACTGCAACTTGTCAGGGTGCCCTGCACCCCAACCAAAACCCCCGCACCACAAACAGAAATGCCTCAACCCTGTCTGAACACCCAGCACCCCAACCAGAACACCTGCAGCTTGCCTGGAGGCCCTGCACCCCAAACAGAAATCCCAGAATCTCTCCTGGACTCCCTGAACCCTGTATGAAACCCCTGCACCCCAACCAGAATCCCTTGCATCTTGCCTGCACCTCCTGAACAACCGTCTGAACCCCCTGCGCCCCAAACACACCCCACGCATCCCAGCCAGAACCACCTGCACTTTCTCTGAACCCCCTTGAACCAAAAGAGAACACCTGCAACGGGTCTGGTTACCCTGCTTCCCAAACAGAACCCCTGCATCCCAACCAGAACCTCCTGAACGCTGTCTGAACCACCTAAACCCCAACAAGACCCGCTGCACCCTCTTTGGGCCCCCTGCACACCAAGCAGAACCCCTGCAATGTGTCTAGGTCACCTGCAGCCCAAACAAACCCCACTGCACACCAACCAGAACCTCCTGAAACTTCCCTGGACCCCATGAACCCCGTCTGAACCACCTGCACTGTGTCTAGGCTCCTTGCATCCCAACCAGAACCATCCACCCCAACCCGAAATGGCTGCATCTTTCCTAGACCCCCCCTGAACCCTGTCTGAACATGTAGCACCCCAAGAAGACACCCTGAACCCTGTCTGAACCACCTACGCCCCAACAAGAACCCCTGCACCGTGTCTAGGTCACCTGCATCCCAGGCAGACCACATGCAATACAAACAGAACCACCTGAAACCCGTCTGAACTCCCTGCACCCCAACAAGACCCCCTGCATCATAACCAGAACCCCCTGAACCGTGTCTGAACACCTTGCACACCAAAAAGACCCCCTGCACCCTGTCTGGGCTCCTTGCATCCCAACCAGATCCCACTGACACTTGCCTGGACCCCCTGAAGCCTGTCTGAAGCCTCTGCGCTCTGTCTAGGCTCCCTGCATCCAAAACAGACGCCCCTGCACCCCAACCAGAACCCCCTGAAACTTGCCTAGACCCCCAGAAACCTGTTTGAACCCCCTGCACCCCAACAAGACTCCCTGCACCCTGTCTGGGCCCCCTGGGTCACAAACAGCACCCCTGCACCCCAAACAGAACCTCCTCCAACTTCCCAAGAACCCCTGAACCCCCTGCAACCCAACAAGGCCCCCTGCACCCTGCCTGAGACCCCTGCGTCCCAACCAGAACCCCTGAACCCTGTCTGAACCACGTGAACCCCAACAAGACCCCTTGCACCCTGTCTGGCACACTTGCACCACAACCAGACCCCCTGCACTGCAACCAGAACCCCCTGCAACGTGTCTGTGTCCCCTGCTTCCCAAACAGACCCCCTGCACCACAAGCAGAACTCCCTGAAACAAGTCTGAACCTCCTCCACCCCCGCAATATCCCCTGCACCCTGTCTACAATCCCTGCAGCCCAAACGGAATGACCTGCACCTCGCCTGCACCCTTTGAACTCCGTCTCGGTGCCCTGAACCCCAATCAGACCCTCTGCATCTCACCTGGATGCCTTGCATGCCAAACAGAACCCCTGCACGCTGTCTGGGCCACCTGCACCTCACCTGGACGCTCTGAACCCTGTCTGAACCCCATGCAGAGCAAACAGATGCCCTGCAACTTGTCTGGGTCCCGCGTTTCCCAAACAGAGCTCCTGCACCTCAACCAGAACCCCCTGAAACCTGAGCACCCTGCACCCCAGCAAGATGCCCTGCACCCTGTCTGAGACCCCTGCATCCCAGCCAGACCCCCTGTACCCCAAACAGTCCCTCTGTACCTTGACTAGATCCCATGCACCCTGTCTGGGCCCCCTGCACCCCAAGAAGGCCCCTGCAACCTGTCTGACCCCCATGCGCTCTGTCTGGGTGCCCTGAACCCCAAGAAAACCCCCTGCAACCTCTTTGGCCTCCCTGAACACCAACCGGACACCCTGCAAACTCTCTGGCATCCCTACAAGCTGTCCTGTGCCCCTTCACACTGTCTAGGTCCCCTGAACCCCAAGCAGATGCCCTGAGCCCCAACCAGCCCTGATACACCTTGTCTTCCCCCCACACACACACCCCAACCAGACCCCCTGCACTTGACTAGACCCCATGTGCCCCGCTTCCCCTCTGTTCACCCCGTCTGTGCCCTCTGCACACCAAGCAGACCCCCTGCACCCCAAACACACCCCTGAAACCTGCCTGGTCCCCCTGCACCTGTTTGGGTCTCCTGCACCCCAACAAGACCCCCTGCACCCCAAACAGGTGGTCTCTATACCTTGACTAGCCCCCATGGAACATCTCTGGCCCCCCCTGCACCCTGATTGGCAGCTGTGCATACTGTAAGGGCTCTCCAAACCCCACGTAGACCCCCTGTCCCCCAAAGAGACCCCCTGCTCTTGACTAGCCCCCATATGCACCCTGCTTTCCCCCCCTGCACTCCAAGCAGACCCCCTGCACCCTCTCTGGACCCCCTGCAACCTGCCTGGCCCCCCTGGACCCTGCCTGAGCCCCCTGGACCTCAGCCAGACACTCAGCATCCTGTCTGGACCCCTCGCACATGACCCACAACCCCTGCACTGCAACAAGATCCTACACACCCCAACCAGATGCCCTGCAACCTGCCTGCACCCTGTCTGAACCGTCTGCCCCCCCAAGAAGACCCCCTGAACCCTGTATGTGTCCCCTACACCCTGTCTTGGCTCCCTGTTCCCCAATCAGACCCGCTGTAACCTCTCTGGCTCCCTAGCACCCTGTCTCGGCCTCCTGAACCCCAACCAGACCCCCCGCACCCCAGAAAGAACCCCTGCACCCCAACTAGCCCTGCTACACCTTGCCTAGTCCCCCTGCAACCTAAACAGACCCCCTGCACCCTGTCTGAGCCCCGTGCACCCGGGAAGACTTGCTTCGCACTGTGTGGTTCCCCTGCACATCAACCAGACTCCCTGCACCTTCAACCCCTAGTCAGCCCCAGTGGTCTCCACTCCCTCCCAGTGTCTCCCAGTGCACACACAGTGCCTCCCACAGAATTCAGCGTCTCCCTGTACCCTCCAGTCCCTCCCAGGGTCCCCCAGTGCCCGCTAGCATCTCCCAGTCCATCCGGTGTCCTCCTAGTCATGTCAGAGACCCCCTAGTATTCCCCCAGTGCCCTCCAGTCCCTCCCAGTATCTTCCAGTGCCCCACCAGTGCCCCAGCCCGTCCAGTGTCCTCCCAGTCCTGCTCAGACCCCCTAGGTTCCTTACAGTACCCTTCAGTCCTCCCAGCATCCCCCCCACGGTCCTCTGCAGTGCGTCTCCCGCTCTGTTCCGTGTCCCCTCAGACCATCCGTTGTCTCCCAGTACCCCCCAGTCCCTCTCAGCGTCCCTCCAGTGCACCTGCAGAGTCCCTCAGTGTCTCCCAGTCCTGCCACAGACTCCCTGGTAACTCCCAGTGCCCTCAAGTCCCTCTCAGTGTCCTCCAGTGCCCATCCCAGCATTTCCCAGTCCATCCAGGGTCTGCCAAGTCCTGGCAGACACCCCCTAGTATCGCTCCAGTCCCCACCGTGTCTCCCAGTACACCCCCAGTGTCCTCCAGGCCCCTCTGCAGCACATCCAGTGTCTCCCAGTTTGTGTCCAGGGTCTCCCATTATGTTCCGTGGCCCCGCAGACCTCCCAATGTCCCCCAGTGTCCTCCAGTCCTTCCCCATGTCCTCCTGTCCTCCCAGTGCCCTCTTGTTGAAAAACAGTGAAGGAAAAAACATTGTTCAGGGTAGTGTAAAAACTTAAGCAATTGGTCAAACACCTGCAACACGTTGTCCGTCACGCAGAGGTCCCTGAGCTAGGCGAGCGTGATAAACGCCTCCCGGGAAATGCAGACGTGGAGAGGCCCCATGAGGAAATCGGGAGACTCCTAATCGCGAGCCATTGTCCTTGAAGATTAAGGCCCTCTGAAAAAGAACAAACTAGCTGAAGCTAGGCAGGAGATAAGAAAGTGCAAACATAAACCAAAGAAAGACCAATTCCAAACCGTAGACAAGTATAAGAAAGGATGCTCTCCAAAGACCACCAGAGGTGGCTAGAGACCACCGACAACCCCCGCGGAAGTCCCTCAGAGACCTAAACTGCACACATAATAATTATGTGATTACAGTAATGACTTTTTGGAAATTGGATAAATAGACACGTAACGGAGCAATATAAGCTTTGGCTATCGTAACGTACAGCAAGCATGTTAGGCAGAACGATTCCCTTGCGTCCCCGGCCAAATAAAGCAATGCCCGCTCGTTAACGCTAAACGCGATTTCAGTGAGGGAGGGAGAGAGACAGGGAGATGCTGAGAACAGATACGAGTCGCCGGGTAGAGGGAGACCTTCCGATGCGATTTTCACAAGCGACAGGGAAGGCGGCAGCGTGGAAGGAATGAAATGCTTCAGGCGGCTGGGGAGCCAGCAAGGGAGCGGCGTGGAAAGGACGTGGAGAAGGCGACGGGGGACGGGGCGGTGTCGGCAGAACAGCAGAAAGCTGCGGGGACCCGGCCAGCCCGAAAGGCAGCCGGAGGCGGGAGCAGGCGGGCAGCTGGAGAAGCGCGGCCGGGACCGGCCCGGGGGGACGCGCGACCCGCCGCAGCTCCCGGTACCGGCCCCGGCCCGAGGCTTTCGCAGCCCCGGGGCTCGTCTCTCCGCCTCCGCCCCTTCCCACCTCCGCAGCGCCGGCTGCCCGACCCTCACCCACGCGGGGGCGGGCGGCACGCGCCTCCGAGCGCCTCCCCCGCGAGGCTTCCCGGCCACCCGGCGGCTCGGGGGCGCCGAGCTCCCGGCGCCGGTGCTGCGCCCCGTCGGGGCCGGCCGGGAGGAATCCTTCCTCGCCGCACGGACCGGCCGCTCCTGGCCGCGGGCAGACGCGGCTGAGACTCTCTTTCTTCCGCTCCTCGGCCAGCTCCCGCGGGCGGGCAGCCCCCCCGCCCCCGACTCCCAGCTGGAGCCCCTCGGCACGGCGGGGCCGGCCCCACCCGCAGCCTCACCGGCTGCACCTGGGGCTGCCCCAGTCCAGCCCCAGCTCCCCAGCTGCAGCCTATTTAAAACCTTGGCCCGGTCCCATCCTCACCTCACCGGTCCCACCTGAGCTGCCCCGGCCCCAGCCCACAGCCGGAGCCGGTGGGGAGCGGGGGACTGGCGGTACCCGGCCTGCAACAAGGTGATCTTTACAGGCGCAGGAGCAATACTGTCTTTTATTCGGGCCTGGGTGCTCAGTGGATTTTCCTCGAATCGAGCACACCTAACAGCAGGTGCAGGTGCTTCTTTTATACATCCAAATCACAATCACAGGTTGGTGCTTTTCCAAACATTCCTATCAGGCACCGATCGCTCATTAATTATAATACAGTTACGATACAAATTACACACCAACAAGACACCCTGCACACTGTCTAGCCACCCTGCACCCCAAACAGATCCTCTGCACCTTGTCTGGACCCCCTTTCCCCTCAAACAGCCACCCTGCACAGCACCCCTATAAGGGCTCCCTGCACCCCAAACAGACCCCCTGGACCTTACCTGGGTTCCCCCCCCCATGACGCCAACTGGACACAACGTGACCTCTCTGGGCCCCGTGAATCCCAACCAGACCCCCTGAACCCTGCCTGGTCCCCCTGCACCCCAAACAGACCCCCTGCAACCTACCTGGGTTTTTTCCTAAAGGAAAAACAAGGAAAAATTATTTAAAAGAGGAAAATTTTAAGACCGCTGGGGAGTAAGAAAATATGGAAAAAAGTTTCAATAGCACCTAAATTAAAAAGGAAGAGCAATCTATTAAACCATCTTGCCACCTCTCAACACTCAAGCAAAAATTATTCTCCTGAAAAAAAAAAAACAGAAAAGCGACAAACAAATCTACTTTCTACTCCAGACTGCTTGACCTTGCCCGGTCCTGAAGCTCTTATTGCAAAACACGCATGCTCCTCTGGAGGTCAAAAGACTTAAAAGCTTAGGCAGCTCCAAAGCTGCTGTCAAGGGAAGGAACAGGGGAGCCTTGAGCCCAAAGAAGCCCAGGAGCAAAAGGAGCTCCCTGAGTAGAGGCTGGGGCTGGTCTAGCCTGGGCCCCACCCACTGCCCTTCCCACAATTCACCAGGAAAGGGGTGGGGCCACCCACCTGCAGGTATCACATGGGCCAGAGGGGCCACAGGGTTTTAACCATTGAGCAGGGGTGACCTTTGCCCTTGACCCCAGCTGACCACTGGGCTCTGACCCCGGTATGACCTTTGGCCTCTGCCCCCATGCTGATGTTTGACCCCTGACCCCCAGTTGACCTTTTACCCCTGACCAGGAATTTAACGGTCTCGTGCTGCTGGCTGACCTTTGACCTCTGACCCAGAGTTTACCTTTGACCTCTGACCCAGGGCTACCCTTCGACCTATGCCCCAATTTAACCTTTGACCTCTGACCCCATGTCCTGGGTTGAATGAGTGGTGGCATTTTTTGTTTGGTGGCAGGGGAGGGGGCTATCGGGGCGGCCCCCTGTGAGAAGCTTCTCAAAGCTCCCCCAGCTCCACGTCAGCTCCACTTCTGTTTGGAAACTGAGCCAATCGGCTGCACCTCTGCGATAACGTATTTAAGAAGGTGACGGGCAGTGGGACTGGTGAGGAGGAGTTGCTGCAGCTGCATGAACACCAAGGTCAGTGGAGGAACGGAGGAAGAAAGGAGGGGGGAGGTGTGCCGGAGCAGAGACCCCACTGTATCCTGTGGGGAGACGGCAGGGCGGACCCCCCCACCACCCATGAAGATCTATGGTGGAGCAGACACTAATTTGTGGCCTGTGTTTGTTTTCACCTGGATGAGCAAAGTGCTGTGCCCGAAGAAGGCCGGGGTCTTCTGGGAAAAAGTAGACCCTGCTGCTGCAACTCAGCGCTGGGAGGATTGCAGCATGCGGGGGTGCCCACGCACGCCGGAGCAGCTCAGGAAGGGTTGCAGCCCTGGGAGAGAGACTCCTGTGGAGGACTGTCTTCTGGGAGAGGGCGACCATGCTGGAGCAGGGGGAACAAGTTCCAGAAGATCCCCCCACCAAATATGGAAGAAGTGGCAGCGCTGCCTGCACCCCCCATTCCCTGCCCCTGCACCACTGGGGGAGGAGGTAGAGATATCGGGAGCAGAGCTGAGCCCGGGAAGAAGGGAGGGGTGGGGGGAAGGTGTTCTCAAGATGTGCCAATGCTTCTCACTGTCCTACTCTGTTACGTGTTATTAGTGTCTGTAATAAATGTATGGGTTTTGCTCCCCCCCTAACGAGCCTGCCTTTTGCTCGTGCCCATCTGTGGTGGTTGGCTGTTAACCCGGCTCAAACCACTACACCCCGGGAGTCAGTTGACCTCTGACCACGATTGGCCTTTGACTTCTGACCCCGGGCCGATGTTTGCCATCTGACCCCTAGTTGACATCTGACACCTGACCCCGAGTTGCCCTTTGACCTGTCCCGAGATGCCCTTTGACCTCTAACCCAGAGTTGACCCCTGTTGACCTTTGACCTCTGACCTCGAGCTGACAGTTTGCCTCTTACCCCAAGTTGACATTTGATGTCTGACCCTGGGTTGACATTTGTCCTCTGACTCTGAGTTGCAATTTGACATTTGACCTCTGCACGCAATTAACCTTTGGCCTCTGTCCCCCAGTTGTCCTTTGGCCTCAGACCCTGGTTGACCTCTTACCTCTCACCCTGAGTTGACCTTTGACCCCTTACCCTGAGCTGACACATGATATATGACCCCGGGTTGACCATTAACCTCTGACCCCAAGTTGACATTTGGCCTTTGATCCACGTTGACCTTTGTTCCCGGCACATAATTGACCTCTGACCCCCTGTTGACCCTTGACCTCTGATCCCGAGGTGACCTTTGACTTCTGACCCAGAGTGACTGTTGACATATGACCTCTGACTCCTGGCTGACCTGTGAGCTCTGACCCCAGCACTGACCTTTGACCTCCAGAAGCACATTGACCTTTGACCTCTGACCCCGGTTGAACTTTGAACACTGTCCACTATTTGACCTTTGGTCACTGACCCCGGGTCGACATTGAACCCCTGACTGACCTTTGACTTCTGACACCCGATGTGACCTTTTCAAACAAAAAAAGGGCCAAACAATAGGCTTCAAACCAAAGCTGACTTCTGAGTGAATTCCCTGACTGGCAACCAGCATCTTATCAGCAGCATGAAGCAACCAGCATCTTATCAGCGTGAAAATGCAACCCTGGGAACAATCCCTGGGAACTATAAGTAAGCAACAGGAATTAACTATAAATCCCAAATGTAAAGAAAAATGGAAACTCCTCAGACATGCCCGGATCCTGGCCAGATCCGGACATGCCTGAGCGAGGCACGTCAACCTACCAGCTATCTCCCGTGTGTTTTGTATAGACTTGTTTGTTAAACTGTATAAAAGCCGGACCCTCTCGCAGCGAAGACGGAAACCTTACCTACGAGTGGACGCACTGCGTGGGACTTCCCAATTGCCGGGAAAGGCTCTCCGATCCTTCGCTGCGACGGGGCTCCCCAGCTGATGCACGGATCTGGATGATGGTAAAGTACGAAGGCAATTGGCGATGTGTGTCTTTCTTAATCGCTAGAGCTAGCTTTATGTGGTAATGACTAGATGCGTTACCTCGCTTATTCTTTCTGCTGCTTTAAACCAAAGTAAAATAAGCCTATTTCTTTAGCTTGGTGATGTGTCCTTTGTGTTAACCCCGTCAATTGGCAAAACACCTTTGCCCTCTGACCCCGATGTGACCTTTGTCTCCTGACCCCTATTGACCCTTGATCGTTGACCTCTGGCCCAGTCGTGACCCTCGGCCCCGTTGACATTTGACCTCTGACCCCAATGTGACCTTTGATCTCTGACCCCAGTGTGACCTTTGACCACCTGCTCCCAGTTGACCTTTGACATGACCCCTGTGTGGCCTTTGCCCCCGGCCCAGGTTGGACTTTGACCTCTGACCCCTATATGATGTTTTATCTTTGACCCCCTGAGTCCGGGTGATGTCTGACCACTGGCTCCAATGTCACCTTTGACCTCTGACCCCAGAGTTGACATTTGATCTCTGACCCATGGTCGGCTTCAACCTCTTGCCCCTTGCAGACCTTTGACCCACGTTCTCTGACCCAAGGTTGACCTTTGACCTCTGACCCCTGTTGACATTAAACCTCTGTCTTGGGTTGACCTTTGACATCCATCCCCAAATGACCTTTGACCTCTGACCCTAGATGACATTCGACTGCAAATTGCCTCTTGACCTCTGCCCAGATGTTTACCTTTGACCTCTGCTGACCCCGAATTGACCTTTGGCCACTTGCCCTGGGTGCCCTTTGACCTCTGACCCCGTGTGACCATTGACATCTGACCTGAGCTGACCTTTGACATCTGGCCCCGTGTGAACTTTGAGCTCTGGCCTCGGTGACCTTTGACCTCTGGCCCCAGGTAGACATTTGAGCTCTAACCCAAGTTGATTTTTGACCTCTGGCCCCTGTGATGACCTTTGACCTCTGTTCCCACGCAACCTCTGGTCCTGTCTGTCCCGAGGGTGACCTGTGACTTTTTCTAGATTGCACATTGCCTAATCAGGCTGTTCTTGCAGTTCACAGCTTCCTTTTCATCTGCCCTAAACATGAAAGTTTGAATTGGGGTGGATTCCTGGCATTATGGGTAATGGTTGCAGGTTAAGGGATAGTTTCAGCTATTTAGGGTGGAACTAGGGTGTTACACTTGACAGATGGGCAGGAGGCCTTGGAGCACAGCATGAGGATGGATGGCAGGGCTGTAGTATAATCAGTGTGTGCCAGTTCCTTCATTAATGCTGTGTTTTGAATAAGTGAAGATAGAAGAAGACAAAGAACTTTTTATTCATAAGCATTTATTGCTTGGGAAAGAATACTGCCTATCTCTTTTTTTTTTTTTTTAAACCATCTCTATCTTTGCCTGGGCCCAATACTGACTCTAAAGCACTCTGCTGTTATCCTTCCATACACCTTAATTCCACCATGGTCTTGTACTACTATGATAAAAAGTATTTACTGCCTCCTTTCATCAAGTAATTACTAGTATGCTCATTCACTTTTTAGTCACTTCTTTAATAAATACAGGTAACCACTAAAAATCCATCATTACCTTCATTGCAACTACTTAGTGCCTGCAACTCTCTACACGGTAGCTAGAGTCTTTTCCACATTTCTCATTCCCATTACACACTCAGTCTATCACTTCACATGTAGAAGTTTTCAAGGCAACACCACCTCCACCATTTGCATTCCCACCCAGAAAGCAAGCAAGCTCTGCTCATCTCAACAGGCCCACAACTTCCATGCCTGCACCCAGAGATCAAAATTCAAAAATGTTCCAGACACCACACCACCCACTGAAAGAACTTACAACCCTACCAATGTAAAATTAAGGCCCACCTGCTTCACAACCCCATCCTCCTCAGCACTGGAGCACTCTAGTGCATCTCCCCACACCCTTCAACTGCAAGATGCACCAACCATCTCCCCCTGACTGTCCACTCAATGCACCTCCCTGCAACAATGGACAACTGCCACAGGCCAGGGGAACGCTCCCCGGGAATAGCATTCCCAGTGGCCTCCAAATTCACCCCACCTGCAAAAATCCCAGCCCAAGCCAAACCTCCATCCAAAGATTGGTGATGAACTTCACCATGCAGAGCAGTCAGGACCAGGATAAAACCACCCAGCTGGGAAAGAAAACAATAGTCTCACAGCTGGGTGGGTTGGTCTTCTTCCTACAGTGTCTGAAAAAAAAAAAATCTCAACTCCACATACAGCCTACAGGGAAAAACTAAAAAACAAAACAAAACAAACAACAAACCACCAAACAAAAAAAAAAAAAAAAACACCCAAAGCCCAACAACTTAGACACAATCAAAACACACAACCCAGCTTGAGGGGGTTTTTTATTTATTGTTAAGGAAACATTAACTACCTCTACATTCAGTACAACCTGAAATAAAAGTAATCCACACCTATAAGGATAGACACATTCCAAAACTAACACTCATTCGGCATCTGCTCATTCCACCCCTCACTCAAAACATATCCATTTCATCACCTGCCAGAGTGGCAGATCACCCCAATTCTATAACCATCCCTGGAACTGCATCACTGTGCACCTCAACACAACTTCACCAGTCCACACGATTTCACAGCATTACCCTTCCTAACTGCATGCAGAGGGATACGTTTCCCTCTTTGCACCACTTCTACTCCTCCCGTTCTTTGAAGTGCACGTTCCAGCAAGCCTCACGGAAGGATTTGCTCCCAGAATCCCAATGGCCCTAGACACCTGCAAAAGATAAAATAAGGAACTTTAGAACTTGCTCACCAATAGCTATAGGCTATCCCCAAAACCAGCTTATGCAACCTCCACCCAAACAGGCCATGCTAATCAACACGTCATCCCGTGCTTGGATCATTCCAACATCAACAAGAATTGCTATACAAACGGACAAAGCAGCTCCACCTCACACACACACTATACAAACTACAAACGTGACCTAAGGATGCGAGAATACCAGACAGAGTAAACACCAGACCAAAAGACGCGGCCTGACAGCACGCGTTACAGTGCCGAGGCCACGTGATGCACACACTCTGGCCTGGCCTGATAAACCCACCGTGACCGATGGAGACAAATTGCTGGGAAAGACTGAAGACTAGGATGGCACAGGAGGTACTCTGGAAGCAGTCTCAAGAAAGAGTCATCGAGATGAGACCTGATGGTTAGGCCCAAGCCAGAGCTGCAAGAAAGACTGGCCAAATGCACCTACAACGCTAAACCAGACCAACAGCATTGAGCTTCTATGTCACGCTGCTAAACAAGTCGGAATTGGCACCATGCCAATAACGGGAGGCCACAGAGACGCAACGGATGGCTATTGTGATTGCAGTAGGATGAGTATGCCTGAGGCTTCTCAGACATGAAGGCCAAGACAAACATCAACACATCAGGTAACTAAGGAACACGTATGAACACACACTAGACATACTGCACAACTCTACCCACTCACCCCAGAGCTGCTTTGCCAGGGCACACGTCGTGAGACGTATCATTCCCTCCACTTGCACGAGGCTGACTCCCCACAGACTAACCCTCCCGTTATGCCAACGTTTGGACACACATGGACTCTGCTCCCCACAGATCTGTCCCACTACTTAGCTTTCATGGTGCCACAGCTCACGGTCCATGCTTAGTATCCATCCTCGACAGTGGCCTTGTTGCCTAAATGCGAGGTTCCTGTAATCACTTCATGCCGCTCTGTTACCTTCACAAACAAAACAAAGCTGTTTAATACACACTTCATCCGTGAGACCACAGCCCTAAATAGCTGCATTCACTTGCTCTGCTCCAGCTTTCAAAGTAATACATCACAGTTGCATGGACCCTCAGCAATTTAGCCCAAGTGGACCACTTAACTCTCTTGCCTTTTCTCAAACTGCTCATAGCTGTGCAGCTTCAACCCTCTGGAAAGGAATGCAGCACCTGCCAAAAAACAGGGGAAAAAGCAGACGGAAGATGCCACCCAAATCCTCAGCCTGCTCACAGCACTTCTCCTCTGCTGCTTTACCTCAGCTGCTCAGACTCAGATTCTTTGGTCTACATACCCCCATCCCTATATATCCCTATTGGATAAGGATATGTATGTACATAATAGGGTGGGTATGACACCTCAGAAAACTACTACTTTGGCACGCTGGTCACCACTTACCTTGCTAAAGTCTGCTCCGGTGCAGATATCCCACTTCACTCATCTATTCACACCTAGCAAATAAACCCGAAACAGCATAAGCCCATCAGAGCCATCAGTCACACATATCCTCTGACATCGGACACTGGCCCGCCTTTGCCCAGCACTCTGCTTACCTCTTCTGTCACCCTGAGGCACACGGCTCGTCACTCTGCATCTGAGAAACCCAAATCATGTGAAGGTAGTCACCTAGACACTAACTGATAGCTTTACAAGACCAAAGGTCTCTCTTTTTGCATATGCCTTCTAACTACAGCTAAAACAACCAAACCCCACATGTTGAACCCCGCGTATAATGTAAGGCTCCTTTGAGATTCAACCCGCTCAACTACCACACTGACCACCACTCCCAGCAGGCCAGAGTCCAACCTCTGGCACCTGCCAAACACAGTGAAAACAACTCTAGCAGCTGTCTACAGCTATTTGCCCGGAGATGGACCGTACAGTCTTTGCCAAAAGTATCAGGGCAGATCAACATATTACTATACAACCATAAAGCTATGCTATCACTGTCTTTAGTATTGCTACACCCCTGGGCAGGGCAGCTCCAACCCTGACACAGACAGACACCACAAACAACACAATTGTGAGATGTGAGAAGATCACGAGAGAGAACTGCCATCCTAGGGAAGATGCCACCAGCAGAGGAGCTCAACGGTGCCAGGACAGTGCAGATGCTCTATAGCGGCCCCGGAATGAGAGGCAACTACTGTGGCCCATGAGAGAAAGCTACCGTCAAAACCAGAATGATGGATACCTGAGAAGCTAGGCTTTGAGACTTAAGATCATTAAGGACACAGAGATGAAACCCCAGAAGACTACTGTGTGCAAAGAGAACTCTCAACAGAAGAGTTGCAGGCATCGCCTAGCTTGTCAGCACAAGAGGTGAACGCTCAAGAACATCTACAATGCAAAACACAGACAAATCCATCCTTTAGGCCACAACTGCTAGACAAGAAGGGCTCGACAGGCACTATGCCAGTGCAGCAATGCACTCAAGATTCTCAGGAGGGCTACTGAGGTGTCTGCTCACGACAAAGAGCTATGGAGACATTAAAACCCGAGGACAGTGTGGTATAAGACACAAGACAGACTACGTGAGCTACATGCACAGACACAGGCTGGAACCTGTCCTGCCCAACACAAACTATTGTCATGCTGACAAGTAACCCACTCCCTTGCCTGACCAAAGGATACCGTTCCTGGACAGTACACTCCCCTACGCTAACTTTAATAGCCCTCCCTGCAGTTCCCGACCTTGTCCACTCAACTCCTCCCAACCCCTCTCCAGACCTTGATCCCCTCATCATAGTTTTCAAAGGGCCAGAGGTCTGAAACCATCGTCAACAGAAAAACAGCATCAGCTAACAGGGATGTCCCTTTAAGTTGCCAGCTTCCTCTTTCTTCATCTGCAATAAAAAACAAAAGACAAAACCGAGTTGACAGTCAGCATCACAGCAGTCAATGCCTACATCATCCACAACATCCTCCTCCTCAGAAGCACTGTGTCATTTCCCTTCACTCTGCTCTGCACCAATTCCAAAGTCAGATGCTATGGTCATTGTTGCTTATATAACCTAAGATTCCAAACAAACAAAATTATCATTGCACATGTCACCAGCCCCATGATCCTCCTCGCTGCTACCCCAGCTCACCTCAAGTGTTCATCCAATTCCAAAGGCAGCTTGCCTGAGTCAGCTCTGGTACCAATATCCCATTTTGCTCACCACTTAACACCTTCAAAAAAAGAAGAAAACCACAAAAACAAAAAGCTAGGCATATAGCACCGGTCCCATCTTCCCTCCGATGCCGGGCTGGGCGAGCCGAGGACTCAGGCCAAGGAGGAAGAACGCAGCCGACTCAGTATGAGTGATAAAGCATGCTTCAATTTATTGATTTTCATTACAGCCTTTTATAATCCTTCTACTAATTATGCCTACTAGTCACTAGCTGATTGGCTTAAGCTCTAAGGGTCGTATTCGCACGGTCCACCTACTTGCGGTTAGCTTACAGCACAAGCTTCTCATAACACTAAGTTTCTCATGCTACTATTTCTAATTCCTCTTGACTTGTTTTCAAAACAGGGAGGAAGCACTAGATTGACTTCCTCCTTCTTGCCCTTCCAGGTGACCTCAAGGGCAGGATTACCATGTGGCAGTTTTCTGCTCAGAGACCCAGCCTGGATTGTCCAAACCCTGTAGGATCAGTGCATAACCCTGATCCCCCCCAAAAATTCCAGGTTTTTCCCCCTTTTTCTTTTTGGACAATCCAGACTCCTTTTGACGTTTGAATCATAGCATTCATAAAGCATTTCCACACAGACTCCAATACCATCATGACTATCATAATGACAATCAGCATTGCCAGTCCATGCATCAACAAAGCTTTCAGCCACCCAGTAATTTCCAAGTTTTGTAGATTTGCAACCATCATCAGTCCATTTTCCAAATTCCCAAGTCTCGTAACCAGTCTGTCAGTCCATGTTCCAATCTTATGCAGTCTTATGTAGCAAGAAAACCATCCTTACAGTTTTAAAAGTGTCAGCAATTGTAACAACAGAGTATGCAATACAGAATGTAATACAGGTTTCACCATGCTATGTTCTAAACATTGCAATGAACCCACAACATACAATGAATCTGATACTACATGAACAAGTTTTTGATACCAGTGTTGATGTTGAAACACCCAAATGACAGTTCAGAGTTCTAAAGTTCGTAAGGAGTGTCCAAACACCCCGAGGAGAATCTTGTGATCTTGAGTTCCCAGGTGTCCCCCATTCGTTGTCACTACCGGGCAGGCCAACGCTCCAGCAGCATGCCAGTCCCCTTCTAACAAGGCACCCCGAATCCCCCCACTCCATCGGGGCTGAGCTAAAAGCGGAGCTGGTTCTGGTAAGGGTGACGGGAGTGGGTGTGGCGGGGCTGCCGGCAGCGCTTCCTTTTCTTGTAATTGTAAATGCAGAGTTCTGTTCTGTAGCTCAACTTCTGTAATTTTCTGTCAAGTTCTTGGACTTTGCCCCTGTCCCTTACCGGTGTGTGACCCTCTTGCTTTAATTCGGACAGAGCTGCCGTTTTTCTCTCCGAGCCAGACGCTGACGCGCCGTCAGGGGCGGAACCATCCGAAGGGGGGGGGGGTGGGCAGAGTTTATGGTGGCACGCCGCTCCACCCTGCACCCCCGCGCCACCTGATTTCTCTGCAGCTTCTTGCACGGTGGAGCAAACAGGAATACTTGGTGACATGTCCTTAATAGAGCAGAGCTGTTGATTAACCCCGAAGAAGGTGGCTAATCGTGACGGACGGTTGGTTTCGGCAGGGGGGGCAGATGACTCTGAGTGTCCTAATTTCTGAGAAGCCACAGCAGCCAAGTTCTTCTCAACCTTATGGCGCTTAATATTATTGGTTATCTCCCTCCAAGGTTTCATTAATTTCTTAGCAAGTTTATCATCATCTATCACCATATCCCACAGTATATCTCCATACCTCCTCCATTCCCCTTCATCAAACAACAGATCAGAGTCCTTAAAGCACCCCTTTGCTTTCCCTGTTGCTACTAGACCAGCTAGCTGTTTAATGCAACTACTATCAATTCCACGCTTTTCTAAAAAGCTCTGTAATAAATCTAGGGCTACTTCAAAATCCATGTACCTTAATACCTGTTATAATATCCTTGCAGCCCTCAGCTTGTAGCCCTTGCAGTGGTGAACTTCAATCGGTTCAGGCCGGAGACGACACACCAAGACGCGATGGACTCAGTGTTCGGTCGCTCTTTGCCCGCCGGTCGCTGCTCCCGGCGCACTGCTCCTTTTCCTTCAGCCAGGTCCTTCAACGAGGGTTCCTTTCGTCTCGAGGATCCCTTTATTCTCGCCTCAACGAGGGTCCCTTTTTCTCGAGAGACCCTTTATTCCCGGTTGACCCTTTTTCTCGAGGGTCCCTGTTCGGGCGCCAATTGCCGGGCTGGGCGAGCCGAGGACTCAGGCCAAGGAGGAAGAACGCAGCCGACTCAGTATGAGTGATAAAGCATGCTTCAATTTATTGATTTTCATTACAGCCTTTTATAATCCTTCTGCTAATTATGCCTACTAGTCACTAGCTGATTGGCTTAAGCTCTAAGGGTCGTATTCGCACGGTCCACCTACTTGCGGTTAGCTTACAGCACAAGCTTCTCATAACACTAAGTTTCTCATGCTACTATTTCTAATTCCTCTTGACTTGTTTTCAATACACGACAGTACCGTAACACAATGTTTCTCAGACCACCGTTATCATAACACTAGGTTTCTCAGACCACTATTCCTAATTCCCCTTAGCCTGTTTTCGACACACCACGGTACACAAGGCCGAAGCGTCCTTGACATTCCTCAGGTATCAGCAGCTGCGAGCAGCTGCAAGCAAACCCTAGTGAGGCCCAGCATCAGCAGCTAGAGCAGGCTCTGATCATACAATTGCTCGGTGGGCTCAGGACCCTTGTCTCTGAGCCATTCTCCAACACTCCGACATCGCTCACTGACATACCTTCTCACAGCACTCCACTTACCTCCTCCATCACTTTGGTATGCATCTTATCCCTCGGCACCTGAAAAAAATGCAGAGTGATAACTTAAGAAATCTCGAGGTCTTGATTCCGGCTAGGAATACCATCTGGAGTCCAACTACAGCCTGGCAGTAAAACAAAACAAAACCATCCCCCACATACCAAACGGTAAGGCCCACAATTACAATCCTTAACACCTAAGAATTGACCTGCTTCACTACTGCTGAACAGCCCCTCCTACATAGCTCAAATCACCTCCTTAAAACACTATGGAAACGACTGTCCACACAGCCGGCCGGTGGCTACTCAACCCAAGGTGACTGTACAAACACTGCATAAACAGTCTAGCCTTATCAGTCTATTAACCACACAATTCTATCACTATTCCATCTACCCCTGACTCTACACCACCCAGGCCGAACAACTCCAAGCCAAACACACATGCCCAGACTAACAGTACACAAAACATGCCACAAAGAGTGTGATTCAAAGATGAGAGAAAACTCTTAGCGAGAATAATGACTCCTGGATGGGAGATACTGTTGTGCAGTAAGACCTAGATGGTCGGCAACCATGAGGTTAAGAGGCTCTATGGCAGCATCAGAGTCAAACACAATGGCTTGTTACAAGAAGTTACTGTCAAAACAGACGTGATAAAATGCACAAAACAACTGGCTTCAAGACCTAAGAATGTAAGGATGCAGGGAAGACTTCCCAGTCCAGGAAAATGGATGCCTAGAGAGCAGAGCTGATGCCACAGCCTGGAACGATGCTGCAAAAGGGAACTGACTGAAAAGTTCCAAGTTCTATTCATGCTTTATGCTTGAAACCTGAGAATATGAAGCATCCAACTGGTACTATGTCAATGAGGACAGGCATTCGAGACCCTAGGGAGGACGCCCAAAGAATGTGCTGTGTTCCTCAAGCAAAGAGCAACAAGGAACTTGAAGACTGAGGAAGGTCTAAGACACAGAAGACAGACTACACAAACACAGACACCATCTGAAACTGCCCTGCCTGGCACATGGTAGACTTGTGCTGAAAAGTAATCTGCTCCCTTTACCTGCCCAAAGGGTGCTGTTCCTGGACAGCCCTCTCCCCTACACTAACTTTCAAACGCCTCCCTGGAATTCCCAACCTTGTCCCCTCCTCCCAGCCCCAGTCCCTCAATTTAGCTTTCAGAGGGCTGGGGGTCTGAGTGGATCCTTAACAAAAAGAAACATATCAGCTAACTGGGATGTTCCTGCAGTGGCCAGGTTCTTCTTTACCTGCAATAAAAAGAAAAAAAAAAAAAAAAAAAGACAAAAAAAAAAGACCAAACAGAAATGGCAGTCAGCATCACACCAGTCAATGCCTACATCATCCACAACACCTCCCTCAGAAGCACCATTGAGCTCTACTCACCTACTCATTTCAGAGTCAGACACTGTGGCCATCATCACTTTTTGGTACCTAAGATCCCAAGAGACAAAATTACCATTGCACTTGTAAGACATCATAAGGCCCACGATCCTCCTCGCTACTACCACAGCTCACCTCAAAGGCTCATCCAATTCCAAAGGTGGCTCCCACAGCACCTGCAAAACTGAGGTAAATGCTTAACCAAGTTGCCGTATAATACTTTGTTATTAGACACCAGCCCACCCAACAACCTCCTCACCTTCTTGGACTGCTTATCAGCATGTGACTTTGCCCCTCCAAGGCTATCTGCGGCACCTGCCAAAACCAAAGCAAGGCACACGTGCTGAGATACTGCCTGAAACTTCTACCTGCCCGCACCAATTGCCATCTTCTGCTCCTTTACTTTAGCCGCTCACCCACCCTATCTCTGCAGTTTACAGGTTGCCACATCAAGGCTTGCACACCATCTGTAAGACATAAACAACAAGGGATGCTTCTAACTTCACCAACAATAGGACATCTGGAAAATGACTGCTACTTCAGGCTCCTAGTCCTTGTTCACTTTGCCCAAGCCAGCTCTGGTGCCAATATCACACTTTGCTCACAGCTTTCCATCATCAACATAAAAAAAACCAAAACAAAACCAACAACAAAAAAAAACCCACCCCAAACACAAAAAGAAAACCTATAAGTGAGTCATAGCACCAGTCCCATCTTCCTACACCACTCACTGACCTACCTTCTAACAGAGCTCCGCTCACCTCCTCCATCACTCTGGTGTGCATCTCATCCCTCTGCACCTGAAAAAAAATTAGTGGGTGAGTCACCCAGATACCAAGATATAGCTTAAGAAATCCCGAGGTCTTGATTCCAGCTAGGAATACCATATAGAGTCTAACTACAGCCTGCCACTGAAAAAACAAAACCAACTCCCACACCGAACTGTCAGCCCCACACCTACAAGCCTCAACACCTTTGAGATTCAATCTGCTTCACTACTGCAGAACAGCCCCTCCCACAGAGCTCAAATCATCTCCATAAAACATTGCAGAAATGACTGTCCACACAGCCTGCTGATGGCTAGTTGATCCGAGGTGACTATACAAACTTTGCCGAAATGGTCTAAGTGTATCAACATATTAACCCTAGTCTCCTATTGCTACTCAACCTACCCCTGAATCTACACGCCTGGGCAGAGGACCTCCAAGACAAACACACACATGCACAGACCGACACTACGCACAACGCGGTTCAAAGGCGAGAGAAAACTCTAATAAAGAATGACTGCCTGTCGTGGTTTAGGCCTGGTTGGCAGCCAACCACAATGCAGCACCTCTCTCTCCCTTCCCCTCCGGCAATGAGAAGGGACAGAGAGCCAGGCTTGGGGTTCGAGATAGGACTGGGATGGGGAAAAATCCCCCTTTATGATCACGAGCAAAAGGCAGACTCGTTAGGGGAAGAAAAAAAGAACATACATTTATTACAGACACTAACAACACGTAACAGAGTAGGACAGTGAGAAGCATTGCCACATCTTGAGAACACCTTCCCCCCACCCCTCCCTTCTTCCCGGGCTCAGCTCTGCTCCCGATATCTCTACCTCCTCCCCCAGTGGCGCAGGGGCAGGGAATGGGGGGTGCAGTCAGCGCTGCCACTTCCTTCATCTTCGGTGAGGGGAGTGTCCGGAACTTGTTCCTCCTGCTCCAGTCGTGGTCCCCCTCTCACAGGAGACAGTCCTCCACAAACTTTCTCCGACTTGAATTCCTCCCACGGGCCGCAGCGTTCCCCACACTGCTCCGTCATGGGTCACTAACTTCCTCCGACTGGATTTCCTCTCCCACGGCTGCAGCCCTTCCTGAGCTGCTCCGGCATGGGACTCCCCCGCATGCTGCAATCCTCCCAGCGCTGAATTACAGCAGTGGGGCTACCTTTTCCCACGAGACCCCGGCCTTCTTCGGGCGCAGAACCTTGATCAGCTGAGCAGGAGCCACAGGCCGTAAATCAATGTCTGCTCCACCGTAGATCTTCCATGGGTGGCGGGGGTGGGGGCCGCCCTGCCGTCTCACCACAGGATACAGGGGGGTCTCTGCTCCGGCACACCTCCCCCCTCCTTTCTTCCTCCGTTCCTCCACTGACCTTGGTGTTCACGCAGCTGCAGCAACTCCTCCTCACAAGTCCCACTGCCCGTCACCACGTCCCTTCTTAAATACGTTATCGCAGAGGCGCAGCCGATTGGCTCAATTTCCCAAACAGAAGTGGAGCTGACGTGGAGCTGGGGGAGCTTCGAGAAGCTTCTCACAGGGGGCCGCCCCGATAGCCCCCTCCCCTGCCACCAAAAAACTCCACCACTCACTCAACCCAGGACAAGGAGAGAAAAAGAAAAAAAGAAATTGCAACAGTACAGGAGAGAGAGGAGACCAAGGGAGGGGCCAGGACACACAAGTGGGGAGATGAGGCCCCAAGGGCCCAGAACTCACCTTTACCACAGCTCTCACTCACAACACTGCCAGGAGGCTTTGACAGTTCAGACGCTTTTCCTTCTCCTTCTCTCCTCCCTTCCTCTTCTGCAACTCCAGTCACTTGGCTCTCTTTCACCTCAGAGAATACACGGGTGTCTCACAGATCTTAAAATTCAAGGCTTCCTAGACACGTAGCCTTGCTCACTCGGGCACTATACAGCCGTACTGGGCCGTTGGTGACACATATAGACCCTGTGGTCCGTGTTGGCAGGCTGGCCTGCTACAGACTACAAAGAGGGATCCTTCCTCTCCAGGGTGGCAGGCTCTCTCTGTCTGCAGCGGGAGTCTGTCAGCTGGATGGCCCTCAATTACTTCTTTACCTTTCTCTGACCTCTCCAGCTTCAGCCACAGCAGCTCCTGTCCACAGCCAGCAAGTGCTCTGCCTGTCCCTTTTTGTCCCCACATGAGGAGAGCGAGGTCGGGCAGAGACAATCCACGCACACCTGAGGCAGGTACAGTCAACAGCATCCCCAAGGGAGGAATAGACAACTCCATCCTCAGCGTGACCTCTGGGGAAGAGACAGAAGAAACAGCGACCGTTATTATTATTAACTTGCCCTTGGCTGACTCCCCTGCTTCCACGAGGTCTTTTAGAGAGATGCAGTGAGGGTCGATTTGGCACCTTCACGACAGGACTTGGGGTGACCTGGGGCTACGAGACAGGCTTCAGGGGAGGTGCAGGAGCCGAGGGCTGCCGTACAGGGCGAGCGGGGCCGGGAGAGGCTCGGGGAGAGCTCTGGCGATCTGAGAAGGCATCCGGTGGCTGTGCCTGGCGGGGTCGGGGCTTGGTGTGGCGTGCTGTGTCCGCATCCTCTCCTTCTTCTGCCTCGGGTTGGCTGTCCCGGCTCGACTCCAGCGGGCCGGGAGCCTGCGGCAGCGGGAGGTTTGAAGCTTCCCGTCCCACCACACTCGGGTGGCCAGCGGGCAGGAGACGTCCCCGCATACCACCGAAGGGGCTCGCTCGCCTCACCGGTGGTCCCGACCTCCACCCGCTGCCGGGACGCGCCCGACACGCCGCGCATACGCCGTCCGCCGGGCTGCAGTACCGCGCTTCGCCCACAGGGCGGCGGCAGCGGCAGCAGCACCCGAGCGACCGCCGGCAGCGCGCACATGGGCCGGCCGCGGTGTTTCCTTACCGGGAGGCAGCAACGAGCGAAGCGGCACCGCCCCGTTGCCTTGCCGTTACCGGCGGACGGGAGGGTGGAGCACCGCGGCGCCGACCCACACTGCAGTTTCCGTAGCTAGACGGCAGCACGCGGTGCGGTCGAAACGTAGCGCTGCCTGTTGGTTGTCCGGCAGCATCAGCGAGAGGCGGCACGCGTCACCGCGCATGCGCTCAAGAGGGGAGGCCGCACTGCTTTTCAGGGAGCGCTCCCGACGGGAAGCCCACAGAAAAATACACGAAACCGACACCAAAACTACCCCTCGTGCAGCGGTAGCGAGGACTACGCCATGCCGCACGCGCCCGAGATCAATGCGACTCTCTGGGCGCCAAGTTGGCAAAAACTACAGCTCCCGGCATGCACTGGCAAACACAGCATAGCCGTCCCCCTGCCGAGTGACGGAAGACTACACCTCCCGGCAAGCCACGGGAGCCAACATGGCCGATCGGAAGTCTGTGCCCCAGGACTACAGCTCCCGGCATGCCTCGAGAAACACCTGTGTCTGCTTTCTGACCCTGCGGTGATAACGTTTCCACCCAAACCGGCGCACCCGGGTGCCCCGCCGAGCACCCAGCGCAGACCCGCGCTCGGGGCCCCTACGACACTTCGGCAGTCTTTCTGGCAGGAGTGCTCGTTGGCCCGTCAAGGAATGGTCGGTCGGTCGGTCAGCTGGCTCACGGAGCCATAGGCTGCAGGCCCCCTGTCTGGGGCACAGAAAGGCAAAGGAGGGAGGGCCCTGAGGCAAACCAAAAGGAAAAAAGCTGATGGGGGAGAACACCAAAAAGCACCCAGAAAACTGTGGTAGAGGGGAGGAAGCTAAACGGAGAACTTCGTTGCTCACTGCAGGTCAAACACGGGGCCCTTGAGGCTTGGCAAAAGGCACATGAACGACTGGGGGGCAAATCAAAAGGTGAATTGAGGGTTCTGGGGCATACCGAAATGCAAACAGGGTGCCTCAAAATGTCCTCCTAGTCTGAAAGTAAACCGGAGGACCCGATGGTGCACCTGGATGAAAAAGGTGGTTCCTGCAGGGCATGTGCAGTGCCTTGAGGTGTATGGTAAGGCAAGTGGAAGACCATAAGGCACGTGTCTACCGCTTTATCACCAGCCTACTTGGGAATAAGTCACCATGTAATACCGTGTGCGTATATCTGTCCCTTCCACCTTGTTGGGATTGTTCCCACTGGTTATCCTCATCTTCATTACTTAATTTCTCATGGAAAGACGGCATGTAAGCTGAGACATTTTAGTAACTGACTTAAATTAACTTGCCTTGCCTGTTGTGCAGTGGCTGCTGGGGGGAAGAAAGTCTGAAAAAATCGAGGCAATATCAGGAAGGATACGGCCAACATGACAAGAAAAACCTTGGTGAAACCATATCCTCAATACTGTATGCTGTCACACTCCCTGCATCTTATGAAGGACAAAGTTATGAGCTGGAAAGGTACAAAGCTACCATCTTGTAGAAGGTGAGCCTAAAAAGGCTGCAGTTTCTAACATCTCTAATGCTGGAGGATATGAAAGGCATGGACTGCAGAGAGGTGAGACTTACGTGCTTCTCTTAAATAGCATCTCCTGTTGCCACTGTTAGGGACAGAATACTGATACAGACTTACGATGACAGGTCCAGCCCAAGTAAGGCTCTTTGTATGGTCTTAGGACATGTGGTACAGAGAAGAATGGAAAAGTGATTATGTTTTAATTACTTTGACAGGCTCTGTCTTGTAGACTGTTGTGCTGAATCCGTTTCTTTGCGTCATAGACATCTTTCTCCACTGAAACAGTAAATGCCAATCCCAGTGGTTGAAACCTTGAAATGATTAGGAATGCCATTATTTGATTGCAGAGGAAAACATATCTGTACATTTTTGAGTTTCTAAACACAGTATAGCTCAGAAATAAAGATCAAAAGTTTATTTCCATGTTGGTAATAAAAATAATTCCATGACTTCTGTAAACCATTGCATAAACGCTATAGTGTAGAAAAGTTTCAACAAGTGTTAACAATTTTAAACAGTTTACTACAAGTAAATGAGTATGCATTATAAATAATGTTTTGTATTAAGAACAATTTCATTCACAAAGTCATTTCTGTCTGTACACCCAAAACATTAACGGATTCCATAAATTAATATGAGTAAAAATTCCATATTTATTTAGGGCCTGATGATTGACCACAGTTACACAAGCAAAGTGTGACAGTAATAATATTACTACCTATATTTAATACTAGGATAATCTGAATGGCAATATAGAACGAAACAAGTATGTCTCATAATCTGCTATTCAAAGAAGACTAATAATAATATAACATGCAGCTTGGGATCTATCTGCAATTAGCATACTTCCGGTTAAATTACAGCTCCTAACTGTAAAAACCCTGAGAAATCACAATTTTAATCTATTATTCCCCAGGCTAAAATAATTGTGACAACATAGTGGCATTCACATTAAAAATTATATTCTTACATAAATTAACACAGAACTTTATCAAATAACAAAATGAATCTTGAAAATCTGTTTAGTTTGCTTTAATGTATTTTGTGAATTCAGCAAGTTACTGTACTGGAGTCTCGCTAAAATATAATTTTATTGTATCCAGTTTCTAGATAGTGTATATAGTGCAAGGATGGATACTTATAAAGGTCAGGTTTCACTTATGACTACTTCCAAATAGTTGTCTCTAGTCAACTGCATATATTTAATTACTCTGCATTTTAAAGTATTGGTGTAAAAGTACATATTTATTTGTATTTGCCGTTGACTTGCTTTAATAAGATAGAGAAAACTGCATGTGATTCCTCGCAAAAAGAATTTTGTGAAGAACAACTGTATTATTTTCATATGACTGCTATGTATGATGATGTGTGGTTCAAGTGGTTACCTAAGGATTCATCTACAATTGTAGAGAGCTGCCCAGTTTGAGAATTTCACACATAGGTATGTTTCTTTGGTATGTGTTTTCTCCTTCTCCACATGGTTTCTTAATAGTTTTTAAATGTGCCTGTAATTCAGCACCAAAGAAACTTACAGGGAACACCTGCAAAATTTTCAGTACTGATATTACCGTCGAGACGCATTATTATTTTCAAGATTCATCACTGTAAAACACAAAACACACAGTTTCAAAAAGCAACAGACTAAACATGTTAGTTCATTTCCTCTAAAATGCAGCACATACAAACTATGAATGAACTATGAATGTCAGTGTGATGAATCACACTGCGAGTGCTGTTTACATTCTCTTTTTGTTGGTGTCGCGAGATTAGGAAAATTGCCCGTGACTACCAAAAAAAAAAAAAAGAGACGAAAAAATAGCCCTAGGACATAGGCAAATGCACTAAAATACACATAAAGAACTATAAACTTTGACAAGACATCACAAAACCCACGATTCTGTATCTCATGGGTAACAAATGTCACATAGCTGTACATGTCGTAACGGGCGACATACAGCACAGGTCGTAACAGGCAGCACAATGTGGCCTAAGCTGGTTTCTTCTAAAATACCAAAGCAAAAATTTTCACTAAGATACTTCTAAACATTTTTGTGAGCACAATGGTTGCATTATGCTGTTCCACACTAGATAAATACAGTAAACCAAAGTAACTGCTTGTTTGAAATATACGTAACATAATTTCAACCTATAATTACACATTGTTCTTGGATTTGCTGTTAAAAAAAAACAAAACAAAACAAAACAAATCCCTTACATAACGTAAGTTTGCTTTAGTCTAAAATGCTGTTCAAAAATCAGTCTTTGTCATAGACTGCACAGATGTAAAAAATACATTAATACCTACAGACAAACTTGGTGATCCAACTTCCTTTTATTTGAAAGTCCAAAGCTGGCTACACTTTAAAAATGGCTGTATCTTATTTTAGGACAGAAAATCCTAAATTTTTAAATTTGATTTTTTAAAAATCCTGTGTTTGAAAATGCAAATACAGTCCAATTTTATACTTTTCTCAGTACAAACATTTTAGAGAAACTGTGCTAAAGTCAACCAAATCACATTATTAAACCCAGCTTTGGTCTTTAAAGTGGTCTTCAGACAAAATTTTGAATCAGAAGCGAGTAGAAATGTATTTAGTATTTTATCCTACTTCTCCCTTCCCAAAAGGCCTCCAGCATTCCTCCAGATTGACATGTTTTAGGAAAGCACCAACCAGACTGAACATTTAGTTCTCACACAAAATGCGTAATGACTTTTTGCTAACTCAAGCCTTTGTACAAAGAATGCTAAAACCCAAAGGAAATAGTGATTTCAGTACTATTGGCTTGGGCCCCCTATTTAATACTGACACAGTTCTAAAAGCTTTCATTTGACAATAATTTTTGAATACATCTCGTTTTTTGTTTTAGCATGACTGAACTTTAAATATAGATTAAGTCTTTGCTGCCTGTGTGAACTCATTTTTTGTACTCAATACAGTAATATGGAGATACAAATCATGTAACACAGTAGTAGGTCATTTCCATCTAAGTTATACTAGTGTCACACCTGAATTGAACAGAAAAAGGAGTAATGCAGGCAATTATTCCATGTAAGAAAAGTAAAAATATACAGTGTTAACATGCAGTAATTAATTAACTGTTCCTCCTGAACTGCATGTTCTCAACTACCAGGATGATGTAAGGACACTACCACCTTTTAAAAGAATCACTGTGTCAAAGTGCCACTGCCTGATTACATACTTAAATAATTTTGTAGTTCCTTTCAAACATGCATTACTTCATTACTGAAAAAAGTGTATTTTTAAGTATTTGTAAAAGCAAGAGACATATTCTAGTTATTGTCAAATTGTTCAATACAAAATTAAGCAATAGAAATTATTTGCAAAATTCTTTTTTTATGTCTTCTGCCATTTTATAGGATATTGGGCATAGGCACTTGGTAATATTAAATATATCGTATCTGCTCTGGATGAGTACCACACAGGTTAGGAGAGGTACAAAAACTTTAAGACTACAAACATCCAAACTGAGGAAAATATGCAAATGCACAGTTGTTTACTAAAACTGATCTGTTTCACAAAATTGAAAACATGTCTTTGAATATGAAAGCATATGTGCCTCACTGTTTTTGTCTCCGCTGGTACATTTATAAATACTACAGTATGCAGTTAACTTATAAATTGTAAAAAAAACTAGGTAAGTTATCATTTCTGTTTAATCATACTGTGTTTTTAACAGTAAAACCATGTGAAATATTTTAACTTCACAGTACACATATAACACGTCATATTATTGCATATTAAAAAATAAACATAAGACATAGAAAGCAGCTTGAAGCAATTTACAACATATCTTCTAACAAAACACAATAATTAAAAAGTGCTTTTATATTAATCAGAGTTGTTCAAACATCCAAGTAAACATAGTGTTAGACTGATTCCAAAACACTGGCTCTGGTGTTCCGCACACAACAGACGTGGCAAAGGGACCATCTGTACTGCTGAGTGAGTAGTTACTGTATCTATGCTATGTATCCATCTTCTGTTAAGGAAAATAAAAGGTATAAAGACTTAATTCAGGCATTATGGTAGGATTTATACAAAGTGATTACAGTGCAAATGAACTTAAGTAGCTTGTGCACTAGGAATGTAAGTGGAAGTCAGAAAAGGCTGCGATGGGATTGGGGGGGAATGAAAGAAGCTCAAGACTACAGAACCTCATCAAATGACTGAAGTTGATAATGTAAAGGTGAGCAAGTCATATTCTCTATCTTAAAGCAACTAAGTTTCTCACAACAAAATGGAAATCAGTCTAGCACTATTAAATGGATTCATTATGAGTCATGTAATTCTTATACAAAATACAAAACCATAAAATGATTTAATTCATGAATACAATATGAGTACTATGTCTGTATGTTACCACATATTATTTTTTTTCTTGCAGCAGGGACATTCTTCTTGTGCAGCTGCACAGTGATCACAAAGTACATAGTGTTGACATGGATTCAGGATAATGGTACGATCACCCTCCTGACATACGATACACTTCTTTGACTGAAGCTGAAAAATCACCTGTGAAAAGATTATCACACTCAGTAACAATGATTCCAAAGTATACAGTTGAATTCTAGCAGCTTTACACTTAGCTATCCCAAAAAACCCTTCTAATTTAACAGCACAAAGGACAATGCTTGTATGATAGATAGCTGAATTGAGGGTCATAAGATCAGATCATGTGCAACCTTTAAAGTAGCAGCAGGAGGAGTATAAGTGCTTTTAGAAAGGAAAATATCTATGACTGAACCTCTGGAATTAAATTTTCCTGCATAATTGGGATGAGTGATGCAAACAAGCAAAGATAAAAAAAAAAAAAAAAGAGGAAATAAGCCTTTTTCTTTGTCATATACTCCCTCATTTTGCCATTTCAAATCACTGTTACATTTTCTCATGCCATGGGGGATGTTCGCATTCGGACAAAATGGAAGCATCCCAAATGTGCAATACTTCGAATAAAGCTACCGATACAGACTTCAGGCCAGATGTTACAACTGCAAATAAATGTCTCCATGTGATAAGCCGTATCAACCCTATTAAAGAACAACAAGAATTGAAAAGCATCTAAAAGCCATGTTAATTTCTGAAGATGGTTCAGACTAAAAGATGAACCCAGAACACTATGTGTGGCACCACCTAAGACAGCAACTTTCTCCTGGAAGGAAGAGCTAGGTGAGAAGAAGCCACAGTGGTAAGGAAACCTGAGAAACTGAGGAGCTGGGAAAGGTGGTAATGGTTCTGATCACTCAAGCCTGGCCAAGATGACTTCCATTCCAGGATGTAATGACTTTTTTGGTAAGAGGTCTCAAGATTCCTTTGCTCCTCCTTAAAATCCCTTAGGAGAAAAAACAATATTGCTCCCTAATCCAATCCGGAATCCTTTAAATGCACTTGATAACAGCAGCCTGGTAACTAGCTAGTCTCATCCTCATCCACCTACTTTATTAACAAAGACTTAAATTATGTTTTAAACTCTTCTAAAGAGAACCTGGCTTTTTTTTCCAAGGCTGTAGTTCATACGGATACAGATGGCACTGGACAGGAGGTGCACTGAGACAGGTAAGACAGTACTGGACTCAAACAGGTACTGGTGTATGGCAGACTGTCCCAGTAGTGAATGGAAATTTTTTTTTTTTTTCTGTCTGGACAGTCCTGTTGCACTCAAAACAGCAAGAATTGGTGTCATAAGTGGTGTCACTGCCCTTTGAGTTTGCAGGGGAGAAAACAATGTGAAACCAAGTTGTGCCCAGCAAGGTTTGAAGTATGGTGCCTGAAGCAGTGCATGGTCATTATTGCCTTCATTGATGTGTTCAGGAGTGGCACTTGATATTCCCAGCTTTGAGAGCCCTGAGAAATGCCTTCAATCTGGCAGCAAGAGAGCATCCTATATTTTGGCAGAAACTGAGACTGTATTTGAGAGAAGGTGAAATACAGCAATATGTCGCTAAGGTGATTAAGGGACTGAAGCATCTGACATATGAGGAGAGGCTGAAAGAGCTGTGACTGTTTAGCCTTCAGAAGAGATGGCATCTTACCGGTGTGTATAAATACCTGATGAGAGAGAGTAAAACGGATAGGGACGGACTCTTCTTGGTGGTATCCAGTGAAAGAAGAGGCAATGGGCACAAATTAAAATACAGAAAATTCCACACAGACATAAGAAAAACTTTTCTTACTGTGAGGATGGTCAAACACTGGAAGAGGTTCCCTGCAGCGGTGGTAGACTCTCCATCCTTAGAGATACTCAAAGCACCACCAGGCAAGGCTCTGAGCAACCTGCTCAAGTTGACCCTGCTTTGAGCAGGGGGTTGGACTGGATGATCTCCAGAGGTCTCTTCTAATGTCAATGATTCTATGCTCCAAGTCTGTACTGGCCTCACTGACTATACAAACTCCTAGCAGGGAACCTCACCATCTACCTTCTAAGCAAGTGGAAAACATGCAACAGCTTTCATTTATTTAGGGCAATTATTTTTATTTATTTAGATAGTGCCCAAAACACTGGGGGTTAAAGCTGGCTTTAAATCTTTTTTTTAATCACCTCAAGAATGCTTATGAATCATTTGTAATTTGTTCTGATAGCTGATCAAAAACTTAGAAGAATCCATTAGGGTAAGAAATCTGAACCATCCTCTATTCCAGAAAAGACAGACTTAACACTGAGAGCAATGTTGCTCTTTAAAACAAAACCTGGCATAAATGTGCCGCTGAAGGTTACTGAGATGACAGTTTCAGTTAATCAAAAATACTTCTGCAGATGAAGAAACTCACCTCATCTATTGTTTCTAAATCTAAGTGCAGCTGATTTTGTAAGGAACGAAGCTTTGGCAAGGATATATTTTCTATATCTCCATAGTTTTTCATATAAGGTAGTGTAGTAGATAGACAAGCAGCTAATTGTGCCTTCAGCTTTTTTAATTTATTTTCCACTTCCTCCTTCTTCTGAAGAGCGAGTTGTTTGTCTGCATCTGCGACGTTAGCACGTTCTTTTGCTTCTTGAGCCTCTTTCTGCCATGCATCACAGGCCTGGGAGAAAGAGATTTCCAGAGTATAATTTTTTTTTTTTTTTTTTTAAATTACAACAGATTAGTAAATTCAAAATACTTCAAAGATTCAGGTAACCTCTAATTTTAGACATAACAATGCTTTTACTGCCAATTTACTGCTTCTCCCTACCTATCCTACCTTCTAATTAACAACTCTTCTTGTTTTGTCTTAATGTAATTTTTAGGTATGTCACTGTTACTTGTCTGTAAACAGCCAGAAGCCTTTTCAGAGATCTATAAATTGAACACATTTTAAATGTTAAATTTATAATGTAATGTCAAGAGATATGAAAAACTATCAACATTTAGTACAACTACTTAGCTACTCATTACAGAGAGAACAACATGATGGGAAGGACTACAGAAAATGCACTAGACTGGCAGTTACCAACAAGCTCAGTGTGACTACTGAGATGGCTAGATGCTGTTCAGGTACCTTATACAACCACAGCTGCTGGCAAGCCTCTACTTTTTTTGCGGGCTTATCATCTGAAAGAGGTATGGGAGGGAATGTATGTCTTTAGTTACTTAAACGTCAAGATACATTGCTGTTCAGCCCTATCCTGAATATGCGTGTCCCTATCTAGAAAGGCAGATCAACCTTCAGAAAAGTAATTGCCCTTTAAGAAGCTCAGTTTTCTTTATGCTGCTAGCTCATTTTGAGGATGGAAAAAAACATTCCTTTGACAGACTGTAATAAAGCTCTGGGTCCAAGTATAAGAAGATGTAAAAAGGAAAAGCAGTAAGAGCTGCTTGTTTTTTTTTTTTTTTTTTTAAATTAGTATTACCATAAATTAGCATACCTGTTTTACTTGTTGCCAAGATTCTTCCCATTGTTTTAGTTTTCTCTTGGCATCATCAAGTTCCTGTCTAACTCGAGTTAATTCATTCCCACTGCAGTTTGAATTTATTGAGGGGGTAGTGCCACCGCTTAGTACTGGGGATGGACTAGGAGAGAAACTCCCAGTTACAAAGTCCCAAATGCTCCCTGTAACACCATTTAAACCTGTAAAAAAAAAGGCAGATTAAATAATCATTGTGCACACACTGCTGAAAAATATTTCACGTGCAGAACAAAACAGATTTGCCACACAGGCAAAATTTATACATTTATCTGCAAGACTCAGCATCATTTCACTACATCCAGAAATGTGACAGTCTGAAAAATGTTGACAGTATTGAGAGCAATCCAGGGGACTTACCGCATGGTTTTTTTCCTGACGCTTTTAAAAAAAGACAGTACAGTCCACAAAAGGAGAAGGAAGAGTGGGAATTCATTTATATACAAAACGCTTTGTTCCTAGCAGCTCATACATCATTTTAATTCTTCCTCTTTCTCTGTTTTTGATTTTGCTTTAGGAAAATGCTACAGCTAAAATGCATTCCTGCTGCCTGTATGCCACCTGCTATACTTCACCCCTTTCAAACGCCTCTGTAAATATCTCCTTTTCCAAGATTTCTTTTTTTCCCTTACCTGGGTACAGAATTTCACTCCTTGAACTTTCTCCCACATACCACATATAACTCCATTATCAGTAGCGTTATCAATTACAATAGCTAGACTTTTGTTGTCCAGATTAAATCATAAAAAACATGCAAAGCCTTGAACAGAACATTTCTTACCTGCCACTAAGTTCCCTCATATGATACACAAAGTGCAGCCTTCAACTTACTTACCTAAAGAGTTGTGAGAAGAGGCTGAGGTGCCTAACATACTATGTTCTGTCTTCAAAGGCTGAGGCTGCTGGTGGTGAGGAGCCGGAGTGGATGAAACAAAAGACTGAGACAGCGATTGTGAAAGAGGAGAGGCTGAAAGGGATGATGATGAATGTAAAGATGAGGAACGAACAAGAGAACCTGGAATATTGACAGGTGCTGAACTTCCCAGTAATCTTTGACCTATGTATGCATTGGGGGGGTGAAAAAAGAAAAAAAAAAAAGATATATATTTGTTCCAAAGCAGGTACACAGCTCTCTCAGTATTCTTCTGAAAAAACGTATCAAATTTAAATTATATATTCAAATACCTTCCATTAAAAAAAAAACACCTTTATTTATACCCTATTGCAAAAATATTTTTAAATTGAACACTTGAAAGTAGTTTTCCAAGTGCCTGAAAACAGAATTTGTAGCTTTACACAGCAGTCGCCTCATCTGCAGCTACAAAGAAAGAGAAAACACTTTTCAGATCAAGTTATTTGACTTACTAATTTTTACAGCCAACAGCTAATGCAAGGGAAGAAACTGACTGAAACTTAAAGGATTAAGAGAAGTTTTATTTTTACTTTAATATATAAACTAGAGTTAAGTGAGAGTATATACCTTGAAAAACATACACAGCATAATAATCGGTTATAGCTCAGTTTCTTTCCTCTACGTATTTTTGCTTTTGTTCAATAGATTTTAAGTGTCATATGTACTTAACTCTCTAAGAAAACTGAGTTTGAAACAAGTAAAAATTAATAAGAACTTAGTCACACAAATGCATTGTTCATAATTTCCCAAAATAATGATAATAATAAAAAATAGGTATTAAAAAAAAAAGAAGGATGTTTCATCATGCAATTACCTAAGTAAACATGCACAGATGCAGTGCAGTTTCCTGGTCAGGAAACAGTTCAATATTCACTGTGAATATTTATTTAACAATATGTTTGAATAGCAACTAAAAATGACATCACCTTTTCTTAAAAGAAAAATAGAGCAGTCAAATGATTATACTTAAAGCAAGGGTTGTGATTCTTGTTTTCTGTTTTGTTTGTTTGTTTTTTTTTTTTTTAAAAAAAAAAAAAACCAAAACAGGTGAATTCATGATATCAGAGAAAATATACTTCCTTTTAGAAGTATTAAAAAAACCAAAAACAAACAGGGATGCTAATTATAAGCTTCACTGCCATGGTGTCTTCAGAAAAAGGTATCTTGAAATACTCAGCAAATGTTACCAAGGTCAGCCTCAAGACCAACCATATGAGGAAGACTGAGGACAGACATATAGCCACAGACGTACGTAATATACCAGACAATAAACATACACCGCTCTTCCCAAGAGGAGCAAGGAAGCAACAAAGTGAAGGGAGTTTAGTTTAAAAATCTGTTCAACTAAGAATTCTCTTAAAAATCAAGAGCCAAAGTAAAGCCCCCAAACACTGTATGAAATGGCAGCAGAAGAACAAGCTCTTTTCTGGTTCTTAAAGTAGTCTTTGAATGCAGTTGAATTTTAGCAAATACAATCTGCCTGCATGTCCTGAGTTTATAGGGCAAGGTTTTGCTAGCGGGAGGGTGGGGCTGCAGGTGTGGCCAGGGGCTGCCCATGCTGGACACAGCTCTGCCCCTCAGCCACACTGGTGCTGCCTCTGGGAGAACATATTTAAGAAAAGGCAAAAAAATACCACACAGGCAGAGGAGGAGGGAACAAAAAGTGTGAGAAACAGCCTCGTGAACACCAAGGTCAGGAAAGAAGGGGAGGAGGTGCGCCAGTCGCTGGAGCAGAGTTTTCCCTGGAGCTGAGATTCCCCTGCAGCCCATGGAAAGTTTGGAAGAGACCATGGTGGAGCAGGTATTTCTCAACACCCTAGTGGACGAGACGAGGGTACAAGCAGGAATTTCCCTGCAGCCTGCGGACAGGACCAGGTTGGAGCAGGTGGATATTGCCTGTAGAAACTACAGCCCATGGAGAGCCTGTGCTGACGCAGGTTCTCCTGACAGGAACTGCAGCCCTTGGAGAGGACACACGCTGGAGCAGGGACAAGTGTAAGGAGGAAGAAGCAACAGAGAAGAACTGTTCTGAACTGAACGCTACCCCCCCATTCCTCATACCCCTGCACGGCTCAGGATGGGAAGGGAGAGGTAGAAGAGTTGGGAATGAAGTTGAGCCTGGGGAAAAGGTGGCAGGAAATTCTTTTAGTTTTTCTGTTTCTCACCACCCAACTCTATTTTAATCAGCAATAAATTGATTTTCCCCAAATCCAGTCTGTTTTGACTGTGATAACAACTGGTAAGTGATCTCCCTGTCTTTATCTTGACCAATAAACTTTTTCATCTTATTTTCTCCCCTCGTTCTCTTGAGGGGGGGGAGTGAGAGAGCAGCTGGATGGGTGTCTGGCTACCCACCAAGGTCAACCTATTACACTGCATGAACTATCTTCCACATACAAATGAAATTGCTTACAGTATTTCCTTCCCGTTTCATACTTCATGGTACTTCCGATTAAGCATAATCATTACTGCAGCATAGAACAAGGCTGTAAATGAAATACCTATCAAGCAAACTATAGCATCAGGAGAATTGTTGAGCCTGACATCACTGGCAGAGAAATAAATTTGAAATTGCACATATTACCAGTTTCTTTCCAGGTCTGTATGAAGGGGAATATCATGAAAATGTTAATAGATAACATATAAACTGTTCTGGTGAACGAACAACTACTTAGCATCATCACTGGACAGCACAATGCCTTCCTGTAAATGCATGCAAGTCCTTCCATCAACTATTATGACCATGGGCCCAAGTCATTAAGCATGTTAAAAAAAGAACCAAAACATTTAATAGACTGATCCCTTGCAAAATACAGACAGGATGATAGCAGTGCAATCCCTTTATACCACAAAGTTAAACAGCTGGAACAAAACTGAGGACTTTTCTTCAAAATCTTTGCTGTCTGTAACTATTTGGATTAGTAAAAGTTTAGAAAGGTAAGAAAGAAATATATTTTAAATGACCATAATTTAACAAATTGGACCTCTTACTTGCTAATCCAAGGTCGCTGCTTTCCTGATCTTCTAATTCTCTATCTATGGATGCGACATTCACATCATTAAAATGCAAATCTAAAGCAGAACCTGTTAAACAAAACATTGTATCAATGAATTATCCTTATCCATAAAGCTGTCACGATGGCTGAAATGAGGAAACTTTATTTGACAATTTTTATTAGTGCTTCCATCATAGAACTCTTTCGTGTCTAGGTCATGATCTTAAGCATACTACAGACATGAAGGATATCCTCTGTATTTTCTAAAATGGAAAACTTTCATGTATAAGCTATTACAGCTCTTTAAGCTGGTGAGATGAACAGGATAATGGAGAGATGGCTATCTAGCTGGATTTTCAATAAATCTGTGTTGCCTGTCGTGCTTAGATGTACATCAACAGAAGAGGAAGACTTAAATTTGGATACCTACGTAAATATATTTGTTATTATTACTGAATAAAACCAGGTATTATACCTGAGAAAAGGCAGTGTAAATGTCCCTTACAACACTTAGCCCTTGCGGTAACTGAGTTACGTATCAGAGCATTCAAATGAAAATGCATAATATTTCAAAATAAAAGTAAAAATCAAACCCCAATATTTCTTTCAGACTCAACAGTTAGACTGCCTTTCATTTTCAGGCTTATGTTGGTCTAAAATGTCTCTAGGCAATGTCATGAAAAAGTTCTCATCAGTATACTTCTTACTAGATCCACTGCTTATAAAGTGTTAGAAGACAAGTATTTTTTCCCTTCTTCCTCTTAACTTCTTTTCTACCCAGAAAGGGGTGAGTTAAGGAATTTATCCCTCTGTACCTATACTTTGACTAATGTTGAACAACTGCACAGTCAGGATGACAGGAGACAAGTGTGTGTAAATACTGATTTTACAGGTATAAAAGTGACTATCCAAGTCAATGTGGTTAGTGATAGTGATCACCTTTGCAAAGAATTTTCAGATTTCATGTTGAAAATCATTACTAAAAACTGGCACAAAGCCTAAAAGAGATGGAAATGAACAAACAGAAATAAAAGACACACTGGCTTGTGTAAAAATTTCCGGAAGATTCAAAAAGGATCTCTTGTTCCCTTTGGAATTAGATTGATTCCTCTCTCATAGCCTAGTTCTAAACATTAGGCACTATGAACTGCAGAAGATCTTTGGCAGAAGTACTAGAAGGTTGTAAAACTGCTAGAAGTCAGAAATTAAAAGAATCATTTGGATCATTAATACAAGATCAGTGTAGCATTACTATGTATAGGCATTTTCTAATGTTGACTAGGCTATCTAACATACTCCACAGTCTCAGAGCTCCAGATAATACATAAAGGGAGTTACTGACCTAGAAACATGATCCATAGAACAGTGCTCGGCAAGAAGCTACCTAAGCTGTCCAGAACAAAATACCAGCCAAGAGATAAAAGTTCACATAATATACAATGACACTCACGACAAAGATACCTGAGAGTTAACATAGCTCTTTGTGAAGAGTTACTAGCATGGGCCTCAAAAGCAACACAACTTTCTTAGTATGGAGTTGTGCCTAAACAATTAATCCTTATCTTTCAGCAGTACTGACAAAGCAGATTGGTGTCCAGCAGTCAGAGGGAAGAAGCTCTCTCTGCATTATCATTTTGGTCTCAAGGGATATGTCCTAGTTTTTCAGTTTTCCAGCAATAGCCTTCTCTTGGAGGCAGGTGCCTAAGCCAGTCCTATACAATACAGTAAGGAGGAAAGAGATGGCCTCCTTTTATGTGATGACTCAAGGTTTAGAATGGCCACAAGTGCTGTGTGAAACCCAGATTAAAAATTCCTCTTCCATAGCTGGTTTTGGATCCCCATTCCTGCACTGTGCTTTCTCTACCTTTGCCTTTTATATACGTAAGGGCCTTTCATCTGCGATACTCTAGCCTGCCTATCTCACCCTTTCATCCAAGTGCTCTCTGGTTGTGCCTTCCAGAGTCTCTGGGGCAGTATGTTTCCTTTCCTGTTCTCATGCTTACCGTCTTGTTATGCTTGCCATCTGGCACCTGCCAACCCCCAGTGCATTGTTGTGGCACAGACAGCATCTTAAGATCACAACATCTATTCGAAGCAAATGCAGAGTCACTAATTCTCCTTGAATGGCAAATCTCTCAGACTGGCAAAATCCCCAGGCTTGAGTAGCCAGTAGAAAGCAATGGAAGAAACCAAAACATTCTCGGGGAGGTCCACCCAGAACCTAACACAGATAAAAGGGTGGAGTACCAGGCTGGCAGATGTCCCCTAATGTTAAGGTTCCACTGTCTCCCTATTATCACTTGAGTTGTCCCCATTCATTGCTGCCCATTCACTATTTATTCCTCTCCAAATCTGTCTCCTTTGACACTTTGCTTATCTAATTTCTCTACTCTCTTTAAAAATATTTTTGTTTTGTTTTGTTTTTAATTTTCACATCAACTTCAAACACCCTGCAGCTTTGATGTTTTCAGATTATGCTGCTTTCTTTTTTTCACCAGAACAAAACCAGACAACTCGACCTATCTTCCTTGACTCTGACAGGAGTAGACTGCAAAAATATACCTTCTTCCGCTCCATCATGCCTCAGTTTTCAACATACTGTCCAAGCCTCAATGCTAAAAACCAGTTTATCTGATTGGTATGCTTATTCCCAACACCCCTGCACCATTCTCTTCCCCTGCTCTTGGGGGACTGTTACTCAGGGAGCAGACATGGAGGGCTTGGAGCTTCCCGGGAGATCAAGACAAAGGGACACAGACAGGGCTACAGACCCCACTGTCTGACAAAGCTTCCTCAGTCCTTACTAATGTAACTCTCCTGCATTTCCCCTAATCCTTTATCCAAATACATTCATCCCCTTTTCCCATAATCACCTAGTCCCTTCCCTTCCTGCCGCTCTTTTTCTATCCTTCTTTTGTTAATGATTCTTCAATCCACCACTTCCTATAGAAACATTGTATTTATTTTCTGTTCTACAAGAACGTCTTAACTTTCTGCTCTATTCAGATTATGTGCAGCACTTTATTTTCAATGCCATCCTGTATATCCACAAAACAGAACTCTGGAAAAATAATTTATATATACATATATGAAAGTCTTGTAGGGAAAACACCCAAAATCTACACAGTCACCATAAAGTACACTAACTTATACATATATGAGACACGTGTTTTACGATTCATATTCTGTTAACAAACATAGCATATTGAAAACTGTTTCAGAAAAACATCTGTAGACAGCAGAGGCATTTTCTAACTCAGAGGAATCAAGAGCCTCTTATACTCCATAATATAATCACACTGGGACATAGAAAACATAGCATATCACTGTTTAAATGACTGCAACACTTGTTCAGTTTATCACAAAAGTTATACTGAATTAGCACCGCATCTAGTATACAGAAACTAAACCATGGCTTTTATTGTTATATGAGTAACTTGATACAGCCAACTATCCTCTACGTATTCCAGAAGCAATGTTTATCTTCAGAAAAATGTGATTTCATTTCATAGTACATCTTAAAATATTAACTGTAAGCTGATGACATTAAATTACTTGCATAGAGTAAGAACTAAAATTCTGCTCATTCTAATTCTGAAATTTAAAAAGAATTTAAAATTTATTTTCTGTTTTAACATACAGATCATCAAACAAACCTTTAAGGAAAGCAACCTATACACTTGTGAGACTGCAGAAAAAGATCCATCATTTAATATTCTGCAGAGATTTCTTTCCTAAAAAAATTAGAAGAGCAAATGCCTAACTTACCATGCCGAAGTGCTGACTCACTGTCTGCAGTCTCCTAGTTGCTGCTACACATCGATTTAAACACAGAAAGCTTCAAGTACACCAGCTAATCACAGCAACTCCCTGATCACGTGACTTACACCACAGAATGTGAAATACAGCATCTTTCAAATCACAACATACCCTGACACAGCCTCCTGAATAAATCACATTTAGTGTAAAAGTGCCACAAATTCCAACGAGTTTGTGGATAACACTAAATTAAAGGGAGCAGCTGATACATTCGATGACAAGATTGCTGTTTAGAGGGATCTCAAAAGGCTGGAGAACTAGACTGACAAAAACCTCATGAAGTTCAACAGAGGCAAATACAGTAATGCTGCACCTGGGACAGAACAATCCCTTGCAACAGCACAGGCTGGGGGCCAAATGATCAGAAAGCAGCATTGCAGAAAAAGATCTGGGCATTTTGATGAATGACATGTTCAGCATGTTCTATGGCAATAAAAACTAACAACATATTGGCCTACGTTAGTAAAAGTGTAGCCAGCAGGCTGGGGGAAGTGATTATTCCTGTCTGTGCAGCACCTGTGAGACCACAGCAGGAATACTATGACCAGTTCTGAAGCTCCCAGTGTCTAGTTATTACTGAAGTATTTATCTCCTTTTACCATTTTCCACATAAACAGCCTAGCTGGTTGGAAGCATGGGAAAGGCTCTGGCCCAACAACAAAAATTTTGTGAGTATTGCCCAGAACCTCTCTTGTGCACCCAGAAAGCAAGGGCTCCTCCTCTTTGTGTCCTTTCAGATCTGGCCCACATAGTGTGAACAAAAGATTCTGTCCTTGAACATACAAATAACCACACCAGAGAATACGCAGTCAGCCCCAAAAAAATCTCCCATTTTCATGTGAACATGGTAAGATTTGTAATTGTACCTGCTATGGTAACATTAAAGAAAAAAGAAGTCAAATCACATCAGCTCATCAACGTCACTTGAGGAGACAGCATTTCTACTTTTTGCAACACAGCAAGCATTATAGAGGTTTTACACATTTTTTTACATCACTGGCCAATACCAATGCCAAAATTCCAGTTTAAATGTCCCACATTCACTCATTCCTATGCTCACACTGGACACCTTGTGAAAAATAATGATTTTGGGTGAAATCATTTAAATGAAATTTCAGATACTGCTTTTAATTACATATAACAAAGCAGGTGTGTACAACATTACTGTTTTTACTAATAAGCTCTTTGGACCTACACTGAAACATGAAGAACTTGCAGAATGCAAAAAACCCCACGTACAGTCGGAGATTAAATGTTAAGACTCACCTATTACTGACTCAACTGTGTTACTGCCCGAATAGAACGGGAGAGCTTTGGCACTGATAGCAGAGACAGTTGTAGGAGATGAACTATCTGATCCAACACTGGAGGCCAGACTGGAAGTTATACTTGAGGCAAGTGGGTTAACTGCTGAAAAAACACTGAGATGGTTCTGTTAAAAAAACCCCCAAACAATATATGTATACACACACAAACACAGTTACACAGATGTATGTACAAACATATAAAATAAAAATAATGTATTTTGAAAAGTAGTTATTTTAACTGAAACAGAAAGAAACCCAGAAGAAGCCTCTGAATGAATAGATTAGGATAGTTTTCTTTATCATTTACCAGCAAATGCATTTCTCCAATGTGGCTGGACATTACTACCATACTGAGGATTTCTGCTTTCAGGAAAAAGGTATTTAAATACTTGCAAATAAGCTCTACAAACGTCATTAGTTAGCTGAAGTCTGATGCTCCTTTTCAAAAGGAAAATACCTACTGAGGAATTGTACCATTTCAGTGTGCATTTATACACAAGTTTTTATTTTATTTTTTTCTTGATCTGCATATTTGCTCACTTAATCTAAATGCAAATGGTGCATAAACTAATATTTGGTTTAGATAGCTGAGAAACACGACTGCACTGGACACATATATCACATTGTACCCATGCTACTTCTTTCTAGCTGAACATTTTTTTCATACAATTCACACATTTAAATTATAAAATGTATGAAAAGCAAACAGTATGTAACCATGTAACATTCTAAATTGGAAAATAGCTTCACAAAGTCTATAGGGACTTGGTGCAGAGTTTCCAGTATATTAATTCCTTTTATTGTTTATTGTTTATTTATTCACTCCAATCTTTTAGTTAATAAAAACAACATTTACCTGTGACTGAATCAATCCACACATCCTCTCACTGCCTTGTGTGTGATGAGCAGTGATTGTGCAGTATCTACTCTCATGATTTCTACCAATACCACAGAAAATTTCTATTTCCAAGCTAGATATAGTGCAAGATAGAGGCCAATAATGACCATGAGAATTAATTTTTTTTTTCTTTTAAAACGGGCACAACCTGCAATGCAGAAACTTTAATGCAGACACAAAAAAATTTTTACTGTGATGGTGACCAAACACTGTAACGTTGCCCAGAGGCTGTGGAATCTTAATTTTTGGAGACATTCAAAACACTACCAGACAAGGCACTGAGCAACCTGCTCTAGCTGACCCCACATTGAAAAGGGGACAGGTGGACTACAGACCTGCAGAGAATCACTGATTGTTTTGGGTTGGAAGGGACCTTTAAAGATCATCTAGCTCAATCCCCTGCTATGGGCAGGGATACCTTTTACTAGATGAAGTACTTGAAATGATACTCAAAGCCCCACCCAACCCAACGTTGAACACTTTCAGGAATGGCGCATCCACAACTTCCCTGGGCAACCTGTTCCAGTGTCACACCACCCTTGTAGTACAGAATTTTATCCAATCTAAATCTACCCTCTTTCAGTTTAAAAACATTGTCCCTTGTCCTGTCACCATGGGCCCTAGTTAAAAAAAAAAAAATCTTTCTCCATGTTTCTTATAAGCCCTTTTAAAGTATTGGCAGGCCACAATAACAGCTCCCTGGAATCTTCTCCAGGCTGAATAACTCCAACTCTCTCTGCCTTTCTTCATAGCAGAGGTGTTCCAACTATCAGACCATTTTCATGTTCCTCCTCTAGATCCACTCTAACAGGTCCATGTCTTTATTGTATGGGAACCACAGAGCTGGATGCAGAGCTCCAGATGGGGTCTCACAAGAGCAGAGTAGAGCAGGAGAATCACTTCTCTTGACCCACTGGCCATGCTTCTTTTGATGCAGCTCCACATAATTGGCTTTCTGGGCTGCAAGTGCACATTGCTGGCTCATTTTTCACCCACCAGTATCCCCAAGTCCTCCTGTGTAGCGCTGCTCTCAAACCATTCATCACCCTGTCTGTACTGGTACTGGGGACTGTCTTGGACCTGGTGCAGGACCTTGTGCTGAGACTTGTTTAACTTCAACAAAGCTCCCTTCCAAGCTCAACTATTCTATGATTCTGTGATATGCTTTTACAAACTTTCAATATTGTGAGTTACACTGAATTCACAGCACATTCTCTAATATCCCAATGCAACATGTTAAATGGAACATTTCTTTGCTGCTATCTATTTTCATAAAAGTTTGATCAAAAAAAAAAAAGTAATCTCTGAACTGGCAATACATATTAAAACATAAAAAACAGCTGTATAATTAAAAAAGTAAAATGAAGAAATGACAAGGCATAGGATTCTTAGGTTATAAGCCTGAACATGAACCCTGTCATTGGAGAAACATGATATCAAAGTGAACACAAGTAGGAGAGGCAACGCAGGCTTTTTGTATTACTGAAAAATTATCAGACTCAAAATATATCCCCTTTTGGCCTGCCCCATCTTAAGCTGAGGCATCTTGGTGAGAGGGAAGTAAAGAAATTTCACACATCCACACAAAGTTGATGGATTTCTTCAGTTAGTTCTCTTTCTCCCCAGTATAAACACCTACATCTGCTAGACTATCTAATCTCTTTTTCCTCACTGACACATTTACAAACAGCAAGCTTCTTGTCCTACCCTATACCTACAGACAGATGCATTCATGCGGTTCAAAGCTTCCTTTCCTTCTTATGTTTTGACAGACCAATACTGACTCTATCTGTGACTTCAAAACACCCATTCTGGAGGACAGCTAAACAGAATGGAGACACAAAATAAATAGAAACGAGACAGGATATAAAGGTTATTTTAAAAATATATATCAACACATTCGTAATTACATAGCAGAATTTCATACACTCTGCTCTATTTAAACGGAGATTAAATAACACGTTTTTTAAAAAGAAGAGAATTAAAACAACTTGCTAAGTATTCTTAGGATGACCGGATAATAGGAAAATTCAGGTTGGAACGAAATTCAGGAGGTCACCTAGTCCAACCTCTTGATCAGAGCTAGGTCAGCTATGAAGTCAGATCAGGTTACTGAGTGTCTGGCCAGTCTGATCTTGGAAACCTCCAAGGATGGAGACTGCACAGTCACAGTCAGCAACCACTGCTTGACTCTCCCCACAGCAAAAAAATTTTTTCCTTACACCCAGGTCTTAGCTTCTCGTTTCAACTTATGCCTGTTGTCTCTTGTCCATCCACTGTGCACCACTGTGAACAAGCTGGCTCCATCTTTTGATGACATCCTCATAGGTACTGGAAAGCTGCTAATAGGTCCTGCTGAAGCCTTCTTTTCTCCAGGCTACACAAGCCTCTTCTCACAGGGCAAGTGCTCCAGTCCCCCAACCATCTTGGCAGCGATGTGCTAAGGTTGCACTCGTTTTCTGATAAAATTTCAGTACTGTAAGCCTAAAACTGGATGCAGTAGTCTAGATGTGGTCTAACAAGTGCTAAGCAGAAAGGTAACCCCTTCCATTGATCTACTTCATGATCCTGTTAATACAACCTGGGATAATGCTGGGCTTTCTCTGCTGCCAGAGCACACTGTTGGCTCACGTTCAGCTAGCTGTCTACAAAAGACCCTCAGGTCCTTTTCTGCAAAGCTGCCTCCCAGACAGTTCTTGTTCTCAGCCTATACTGTCACAAGAGGTTCTTGCTTCTCAGGTGCAGGACTTCGCACTTGTCCTTAATGAATTTCACAAAGATCTTGTTGGCCTACTCCTCTAGTCTGCCTGTGTCACTCAATAGCAGCTCAGCCCTATTGACTGCTCCCGCCAATTTCACATCCTCTGCAAACTTGATTGCCCCACCAGGTCATGGATAAAGATGTTAAACTGGTTCTGTCCTATTTACTCTGTTACAAACATTAATAGCGGTAGAAAGTCTACTTTTTAGGGCAAATCACAAAAAATTAAAAAGAGTTTCCAAGGCTGCCACTCTCACTAATTTATAGAGGTGAAGGGGAAAAAAAACAATGTATACTTTTAAACCAGTTCACGTGCTATCACTCTATGATAGAGAACTGAGGATCCACCTCTAATTATCTTTTGTTTTCTTTCCTTATTTATTCTGCACCACTCCTCCTGCTTTTTAAATGTAAACTACATTTTAATCCTCCACTTTGGATTATACTCTCTTGTGTGGCTGCATAAATGGCAAATGGTGAAACATCTCATTTATCTTGATCACTGTCATTAACAAAGCATCAGGATTCTTGTTCCAGCAGTGCAAAGCTAGCAGAGTTTTAAGCTTCTTTGCATATATAGAATGACTTCTAACACCTGATGGATTTACCTTCATGACAAGTCAAAGCTAGAGCCAGCTGTCCAGGACTATGTCTAGAAAGCTTCTGCATAACTCCAAGGAGGGAGACTCCATAACCTCTCTGGGCAACCTGTTCCAATTCCCGGTCTCACACACACAGTAAAAAAGTATTTCCATACGTTTGGAATGAACCTCCTGCATTTCAGTTTGTGCCTGTTGCCTCTTGTCCTGTCACTGGGCACAAATTTCTCCTTGGACTATGTGGTAAAACGCCGCATAACTTCGATACTGCATTAATAAATTATCAAAAAAGGGCAAAATATTTACAGCATTTAGTTTTTGGCAATACCTGCTTGTTGTCTTGTTCATTTATTTTCTGCTGATTCTCAGCTGGGAAGCTTCGATGCTTTGCCTGAAAGAAGAAGAAAAATCTCTGTAACATATGAACTTAATCAGTCATTGCTGTAAATATATTATTAGTTTATGAAGGGTCAGTGTCATCTCTGTAATGCTATCTTCAACAGGCTGACTTCATTTCCATAACTGCAGTCCCCTATGGAAAATTAAATTTTAATGATCATAGAGTAAATCTACACGGAAAAGGAACAGCAGTTGCAATTGTTCCACTTACATGCATAATTGAGCACATCCAAGTTATTTCTGGTCCAAAAATTGAGTAGCCATGTTAGCATCATGCTGTGACAGAAATAACGTGCCCCAAATGTTCACCAGCTGGGGAATACTCCTCCAAGAGGCTGGTGGCATAGAAGCCTGAGGTAGCCAAAAGTTTGAGTGGAACTGCCTAGATTTTCCCTTAAAATGATCATGCTACAAATAACAACAACAACAAAAAAATCAAATATAAGGGCAGATTTTCTCTGAACACCATTTTATGATAACTTTTGAAACAAGTGAGGTGTACTTAAATAAAAGGGAGTTCTAAGCATTTTCTCTTTGCTCACTGTGTTCTTGCAGAGCAATATCAAAGGATCTCTGCTCTTTTCAGGCCAGTAATTTTCAGTGACCTCCTGAACTGCAGTAAACTCTGAAAGGTGCTCTCTGTCTCCTTAGGAAAAAATGGTTCTTTCTGCTGCCTTTGAGCAGTCCTCTTGTATCTGTTCCTTGTTTCCTTTGGGAGATTCCTCATCTGTCTTGTAGTGCAAGCTCCCTAGCAGTAACAACTTTCCTCCTCTTTATATGCCTCCCATCACTCTAGATACTTTTTTAACAGTTGCTAAGTCCATCACTGCTCTCTCTCCAGACGGGTTCAATGTGGCCACTAAAAGTCAAGCACATGACATTTTTGCTGCTGAGACACATTCTTTGTAGCAGTACATTATTAATTGTGACCAAAACAACAAAATAGATCTTCATCAGTGATTACATAATTTCTCAGTTATTGCTGCCTCCTGTACAGAAAGCAGCCAGTCGATACTGTAACTGCCTTGCTTCCATGACATGATCAGTGATCACTTGATCCCTATACTGGGAAACGGAAATCTCTGCTGTCACAATGACCAGCTCTCTGACCTACAGTCTGTCTGAACATCTACATGTAAGAAAGCAATCCTGCCAAGAGAACTGTGGAGTAACAATCTTGTGATCACTTACAAGTTATCATTTACAAAACCCACTTTCCTTCCTTTCATTCTTTTTTTGCCTTTTACTTCTGCACTTCTCTGTGCATCTCAAATTATAGATTTAAATTCTGACCAGTCACAGGTTTGCAAGAAGGCTGATCAACTTGACTGCAGCTTATTTAAACGTGCCATTGGAGCTTCTTTTTTTTAAACAGTTCCTTTCTAGCAATTTAGAAGTGTAATCAGTATTATAATAGAGTGAGAAAAAAATAGCTTTAACAGGTAAATCCTAAAGCTAAAAAGCTTTTGACTTTTTCTCGCAGGCCAACAGAGCTGTTTCATATCCATTAAAAATATCAGTCTTCCCTTCTCCCAACTGTCTTTGTTTTCTCCCACTCTCTGACTAAAGGATTATAACTCCTCACCAACTTCAATTTCAAGCACTCTCCTCTTATTGCTAATGCTACAAATATCTGTCTCCAAGAGGCTTGTTATATTTTATCATCTATGTTTGTCTTAGCAATGAATTTGTCCAAGGATAGAGGCAGCTGCAGGCGGAAGAAACAGACTGAAATTAATCAAAGATTGGAGCTCATAAATAGTATCAACAGCCAAAAATTAATGCAACTTTTCACCATTAATTTTCAACAATAATTAAAACTGAATCCTACCAAGTCTAGTTATGATTTTTTTTCCATTGTTATCTTGCTCTGTTCTTGCCGACATGAGCTCAAAATGACAATCACATTTCTGCAGTTAGAATTTATTGTACGTCAGATGAGCTGCAGTGACTGTTTGCAGGAGTGTTGTTGGCCTGTGACAACTGTAATTTGATGCAGTTTAGTTCACTAAAGAAGAAGGTTCTAAACTCTGTGTCCTAAATTACCAAATATCTATTTTACTACACAAGGCAGAGAACATTTTCTGCTGAATCTAATTTAACTTAAGATTGCATTTGTGCTTCTAGACCCATATTATTCACATACCTGATCTTCTCGTTCAAAGCCCGGTGCTTTTGGATAGCTAGATGTTGGTGAAGAAACACCTGATGCACTAGACTCAGAACACAAAACGCCATTTGCTAATGATCTCTGTCTACAAAGAGGTCCAAGGGGTGATAAAGAACTACTGCTAGCAGAACTTGATGTTACAGTTGGACTTGCAGAACAGGAAATCTGTAGAAGACAGAAAACAGTGTCTAATATATTCTATGATATTTTTTTATGTTCACAGCTACAATCTCCCTCTGTAACACAATCAGTCGAAATTATAAATTAATTACAGTCTTATGTAGATACAACACTAACTTTGGTTTATTTATACATGGTTTTGGTATTTGCTTAAAAAAGTAGCAGATCACAAAAGTAATATGGAGCTATTGTAAACACACAGACTTCAAAAGGGATGCATTTGTACACAATAGAACACAGCCTTGTTTGGTCCCTAGGCACAAAATGAATCACAGGTGGAGATTAGCTAATGGATAGTAATTTACAATAAAGGAATACTTGCTTTCTGACAACCCTGATTCCCATTCATTCATATATTTCTTAATTTACAGTTTAATGCAAGCATTATACAACATTTCATGCTTTTAAAAGAATTCATCCGGATCAAGCCAAGCGTTTAAACAAGAATAAGACATTTAGAATCTTGGCAAAAAGCATCTCAATACTGGTTTGTAAGTCGCAAAAGGCTGTTTTCAGATGTTCTTTAATATTTAAATATTTATTGAATAATAAATTAACATTTTAATATTTTTAAATATTTCTGAGTTTATAATTTTTAGTTCTGCTGTACATTTTCCAGAGAACTTTAAACTTCTAAAGTAAAAGGATTAAGCTGAAGGTACAATCTGTAAGTAGGTCTGGACATTTTTTTTGCTAAAAGTACAATTCTAATCAGCCTGAAATTTATGAACTCAGAGCGCCAGCATCCTACAATAATATGTCTGAGTAGAATTGTGGACATTGCTTGTTTCTACATTTTTTAGTAAACTTTTCAATTTTCTTAAACTAGATTTATAACTAGACACACAAAGGCAGTAGGGAAATATCTGCATCCTACATTTATGCCTAACAGCCCCGTGGTGAGAACACTCAGTGATGATACACATTTCAATCCCTTCAGTGCTTGTTTCGGAACAGAATCTGCCAGCTCTCCAGGGAACCAAACTAGTCAATACAAGAATGGGAGTGAAATTCTGCCAAAGTTGTTTTGGTTTATTTAAATACAACATACACACTAAATCAGACAGGCTAAATAAGAATAACTATATAGTTTACTGTTAAACTCTCAATTTAGAGTTAATACTAACCCTTAATTTTACTCTATACTCCAAAGAATGTGAAAGTATTTTAAGCAAATCAGGATTTTAACAAGGGACATCTCTCTCCCCAGTACAGTATAACCTCAAAATGTCTCTCCTGAGCAGCAGGAACTTCAGATTCAAATTCCTGTAAATCAGGTAGAGGACAGACACAAACCTAGATGAGGTCTTAACCCTGGACAGAAAAAAACCACTTCCAACAAATGTAAGCCCTATACTCGCTGAAGATTATTACCTATGCGTTCACTCATTCCTATCCCTGCAGAAAATCTCCTGTCACAAACCTTATCTGTGTGGAGTTCTGTAACTGTATTGCTTGTAAAATCCAAAGATGGCTTCTCTACACAACTGTTTGAAATGTATATATACTCTGAGACCTGACAGAAGTAGAAGAGTGGGCATCACAGCACAAATAATTAAACTGACAGCAAAGGGTTACTCGGACAAAGTGCCTTCTGAAGTCCAGGGCTGAAGAATTCATGCTTTGACCCCATGCTTGTTACAACATGAAACGTTTCTGTTACTATTTACTCTAAATCCAAAACTGAGGACTGCCCCTGTGCATGGTGATGCTAAGTTTGCGCATTTTTTCAGCTCTAAAATACTGAAATGCTTTCTTTATTCTAGAGAGAAAAAGAAAAGGACACTGCCAGCAAAAAAAAAAAAAAAAAAAAACGAACTATTGCTCTTAAGTGAAATTAAAAAAAACCCATGCTAAAGTATTCATACTCTGTATCAAAATATTTTGAAAACTTTTTATGAATAACATAGTTACATTTTGTAAGTACACTTAAAAACGTACTTCTGGTAGCATGAGGCTGCTTAATGCAGCAGACAAATATGTAAGATGAAATGACTAGACAGTGAAGGCAGACTAACATCCAAAGTAAGATACTAATTTAGATAAACTAATGACTCAATTTAAGGATGAGTTCCCTAATCTCCACAGAATGTTTCTCAGAAGCGTATTTCATGTCCACTCCTTCAGGTAGGCAGGTAACACAGATTATTTTACTGATATGGGAAGACGTACATCATGGCTGCTCCCCTACAATGTGACCTCATGAAGATCAGGGGAAGAGGGAGGAAGAAAGATGGCCATTATGGATTACTTGTCCTGGAGGGCTACCTGCAGACAACAAAGCCGTAAGTGGGGAACGATGCCCTTGTTCACCCAGAATTACTGGGCTTGAGGTACAGACTTACTGGTCAAGATCAGACGGTTTCAGGTATGTAGACCACCATTAGATAAGTCACTCCTGTGATTCTTCTGGTTACGGCAGGTATCAATGGTGGCATTAACAAACATACATATATATATGTAATCAGTAAGAACTTACAATACAATTTTGTGTGGTTTTGCTCTGAAAAACTGAACCAAACTAAAACTATTCCTCAACCCCTAAGATGCAGACAGCATTATCTGATTACATTAATGTTTAGGCTTTTGGTCTTAATCTCTGAAAAGTTCACCAAGATGACAGTAGATAGACATAGCCTCTACTCCGTCTTTTGTATTCTTCAGAAAAGTTAGTTAAGTTTTAATAACTGTATTACACAGTGCCACAAATATAGTGTGATTCAACTTGCAAAGAAAATACAAAGAACTCATGCAGATAAAGCGAGAAAAGAAAATGGGTCACATAATGTCCACAGTAGGTTAAATGCACAAGCAAGAAAAAAAAATAAATTTCAAACCTAGCCTGAATTTACAAGCCAACTACATAGAAAAATCACTCTCTTTGGTCTGAAGGTATTATTATACATGACCCAGCAATGTGCGTTTGCAGCCCAGAAAGACAACTGGTATCCTGAGCTGCATCAAAAGAAGTGTGACCAGCAAGATCAAGGAAGGTGATTCTCCCCTTCTACTACACTCTTGTGAGACCCCACCTAGAATACTGCATTCAGCTCTGGGGCCTCCACCGTAAGGACACAGACCTGTTTGAGTCCAGAGGAGGGCCACAAAGATGATCCGAGGGCTGGAGCACGTCTCCTATGAAGACAGGCTGAGAGAGTTGGGGTTGTTCAGCCTGGAGAAAAGAAGGCTCCAGGGAGACCTTATAGCAGCCTCCCAGTACCTAAAGTGGGCCTACAGGAAAGATGGGGAAGGACTCTTCAACAGGGAGTGTAGGGATAGGATGATGGGTGATGGCTTTAAACTGAAAGAGGGTAGATTTAGATTAGATGTAAGGAAGTTCTTCACTGTGAGGGTGGTGAGGCACAGGTTGCGCAGAGAAGTTGTGGACACCCTATCCCTGGAAGTGCTCAAGAACAGTTTGGATGGGGCTTTGAGCAACTTGGTCCAGTGGAAGGTGTTCCTCCCCATGGTAGCGGGGCTGGAACTAGATGATCTTTAAGGTCCCTTCCAACCCAAACCATTCTATGATTTAGAATCGATTTTTCCTGGCAGAAAAGGACCTGGGAGTGTAGGTCCACAGCCAGCTGAATATGAGCCAGCAGCGTGCCCAAGAAGGCCAATGATATCCTGGCTTGCATCAGAAAGTGTGGCCAGCAGTACTAGGGAAGTGATTGTCCCCCTGTACTCAGCCCTGGTGAGGCTGCACCTCAAATACTGTGTCCAGGTTTGGGCCCCTCACTACAAGAAAGACACTGAGGTGCTAGAGCATGTCCAAAGAAGAGCAACGAAGCTGATGAAGGGTCTAGAGAACAAGTCCTGTGAGGAGTGGCTGAGGAAACTGGGGCTGTTCAGTCTGGGAAAAAGGAGGCTCAGGGGAGACCTTCTTGTTCACTACAACTACCTGAAAGGACACTGTAGCAGCATGGGTGTCGGTCTGTTTTCCCAAGTGACAGGACAAGAGGAAATGGCCTTAAATTGCACCGGGGGAGGTTTAGATTGGATAGTAGGAAAAATTTATTCACCAAAGGGTTATCGGATTGGAACAGGCTGCCCAGGGACTTGGTTGAGTCACCATCCCTGGAAGTATTTAAAAGGCATGTGGATATGGCACTTAGGTTTATGGTTGGACTTGATGATCTTAAAGGACTTTTCAAACCTAAATGATTCTACAGTTCTACCCCCTGTCTGCCCCTATACCATATGTTTATCTCCCTAAAAGAACGTAAGAAATGCCCTGTTGGGTTGGACCCTGACAAATATCCTGTTACCACAACAGGTGAGAGGAGATGATATTTAGGGTGAATACCCAATTCTGGTCCTTATCTGTGGTCATCAAAGATAATTCTTGAGGCAGAGAAAGCAAATAGAGGATTTTTCGAACCATCTCCCTTCCCTCTGTGAGACACTCCTCCAGGTCTGGTGAAGATGCTCTGGTCCAAAATGTCCACATTGATCAGGACCCTCTTCTTGTAAGAAATATCTCCTCTACAACTCAAGTCTAGGTGGAGTCCACAGAGAAACCATGATAGGTTACACTGCCACTCACATGACAAGGAATAATTTATTCTCACATGTTCATTCATCCCTTATGGGATGAATGCTACAGTATACCCACAAGATGACTGCTCCTGTATCTCTCATGATCTTTGCAGAGTGTGATACAAAGAACATCTGAGAAATGTCAAGAAACCTATCACTAGAAACAGCCACACAACTTAGTGCAGTATTGATGCCAAGATGGTGAGCTAACATGTATTTTGTGTCAAGAAGGACTTGCGATTCACAGTTAACATGAAGTCAAATGTCAGTACTAACATAAAATGAGTGTGATATTGGTATTGGAGACAAAAAGAGTGCAAGAGGGAGAAAGGGAAACTATCAATGCTTAGTTTTTGTTCCTCGATGCTGCAGAATTTACATTTTGTTATCAGTGTTGGAATGAACAGCAACGTCCTCAGCACTACTGATGCTAGGAAAATCTACTG